AAGGTGAACGGTTTTTCGTTTTTAGGCGTATTTTGATAATGACATAAAATATGTCGATTATTTTTAATTAAAATTTTGATATTGAACCTCTTTTTGTCATGAATTAGGATTGAATCGCAAATTTCTTCCACACTTTATTTAGTTTTTTTTTTATAAACGGCATGTTAATCTTCAAAGAAGAGCTAATTTTTTTTAGTTTTCTAAAAAAGCTCCGAAAAATTGGTTATGGGACACGAGACAATAAAATTTATGACTGTTGGTTTAATATTTTTAATGCGCTATATGAAAAGCAAATAAAAAAAATGTAATTAAGTTTTTTTACAAAGCCATTAAATACATAATATCTGGTAATGTGTCATAAATGAGTGTAGGCACAAGCCAACAATTTTTCAACGAGTATTTATCAAAATTAAATAATTTTGTTTATGAGCATTATCTGTTGCCATTCTTTGTTCAGTAGGATTTGTTTGTGGCAATTTTTGAGTGGAATATGGTTCTGTATCAGTGGTGCAATAAATATTCCCTTTGCTTTGCTTAACTGAGAATAAGAAAAATCTGGTACCAGCATCGCTGGTGGGTTTGCGAATTCATGTATAGCCGGCTCTTGATATAAATATCAGCTCACATCTCGAATGCAAAACAGCGAAGGAAATAAAGTAGATCGCACTCACCAGTGCGGTCGCAAGACAGGAGACTGTAGGAACCTGCCGAGCCATACCGGAGCCAGCGATGGTTTAGCACATGCCCGATTAGGCGATTATCCACCGTTGTCGCCTGTCCTTTGTTCCTCCCCCACTAAAGATCCGTAACAGCGCATAACGCACTGCGCATACTAGGTCACCACACGCGCAAGAGGCTGAGATACAGTACCTCGGTTTTGTTTTACAGTACTCCGGGCTCCGGGACGTCGACACGGAAGCATAGGGCACCATGGACTCGGGTGGTTTCTTAATGTTGTATAGTGGCATACCGGAAGATCACATAGCTATAAAATAATCAAATGGCTCTCCGTCTGTTTTTGCATAATTTGTTTGTAAATTTCTTAGTGAAAGCAGCGAAAAGGTTTCTGTGTGCTGCTAGTGGAAGTATAATGGTCGGCAAAGAACCCACTAACAGATTATGGGTTACATAAAATTATTATTTATTACCATTTGATTATTTTATACCCATTCAACCTTGCTGCTTGTCACTGTACACATCTCTGTTTCGATATGTAGGCCGAATTTTGAAGGAACTCTTCAATCCAAATACAAGTTCTTGAGTACGAAACAAAGGTTTTATTTCTACTTAAATGGTACCAAAATTAATGTAACTCACACTAGTGTAATCTCATAATTTTACTATAATTATATAGAGCTATAACATGAATTACCCACAATTTTCCACAAGACCAGGTACCAAAATAAAACTTTGAGAAACTTTTTGCAATATAATTGGCACAAATTGTCTGTTGAAATTAAAATGATATCTTTTGTGACTGATAATTTTGTTGAAGAAAAGGATAAATTTGTTGCCATAAATGCTCCTTTATAATAGAAATTTACGTTATGATTGGAAATTTAGAGTTACAAGGTTCTAAAATAGAAAAAATCAAATGGAAAATGACATACAAATATCATTTTTCTGCGATTTTTTTTTAATAAAGTAGCGCAATGTTAAAAATATGTAACAAGAAATGCCCCATTTCGCCCGTTTTTCAGTTCAGGAACAAAGAAATAAGTCTAGAACTTTAGAAGATCAAGTTTCAAAAATAATAATCAAGTTTTTTGCCAATCATTTTGAATGTTTGTGGTTCGACCTTTAGTTCAGATGAAATCTTTTTTTTTTCTCTTATGTATCTCTTTAACGAAAATGAAGTAATTAATCAGAAATAACAAAAAACAATTCAACAATTTGGAGACTTATATTGATGACTATAATTATATTGAGGATATAAAAATTTATCAGTATAACCATAACCGCTATTGTCTCCTCAAGATTTGTTATACCTAGGGTGATTTTGAAATGTACAACAATATTTAAACTGATACATGTCGACAAGTCGTAGATACTATTATAATCAATTTCAGATTCAAAAATTAAAATTTTCCTTTTTTCATCCTCGTCCCAACGTCCATTTGCGATTCAGAGTTTATCGAACTTTTTATTTTACATCAACGATCTCAATGGTGTACTCACTTTTTCAGAGTAAATTTTTTACCGATTATATTATGAATTATTTTTACAAATGCATATTTTTTCATAGTTTATAGTACCTTGAAGATTTATGAATTTTAATAGTACCTATTTTTTTAAATAGGTATTATGTATAGAAACTTTACTGCTTGACAAACGTATACCTACTATACAAGGTGCTACGATGTTGGAGGATACGAACTTTAACTTTATTATCGAAAGTTTTTTAATGTATAGTTGCCAAATCGGAATGCCCGTCCTCAACTTTTTCTTTTCAAATGACAACCTTTATTTTTTCTGTATTCTTTTTTGTCTTACTCAATGCTAGAAAACAATTTTTCAGTTTAAAATTTCGGTTTTGACGTAGTTATTCAAATTTTTTTTCAAAATTTTGAAATATATATGTATAAATTCTTTTAGCATGGTATACAATGAGCATTTAGCTATGTGATATACAGTGTACATTTACTTAAAATTTGTAGTGTTCTGCTACTAGTAGACACTTAATTATTTTTTTTAATTATAATTTTTTAAAATTGTATTTGAAAATCATTTTTTCGGGTAAAAGTACATGAGTGAAGCAGAGTGAGCTAAAAAGCTGACTTTTTCTATAATTTTTTAACGTCTGTATTTCAAATCCATAAAATAAACAGTCAATTTTTCTTTTTCTTCTTTAAATAGTGGTTTTTCTTGGCTCTAAATTTGTCAGTTTTTGTACAAAAAGTATTTTTGTGTTCCACTTGACACCATTTGTTGCATTTTTTTTAGATATATTTAACACCGAAAACAGTTGTAGATACAGTCTCTAACGCTTATAGAATTTGGGAAATATTTAAAAATTATGAATAAAAAGCTTTGCGTCATTTTATCAATTGTGATGCTTTTAAATGAGTCGTAAACATTTTTGGCGTAATATTTCGATAAAATCAAAGCTGCATAGAAATGGGATTTGCTGAAGCAATTTATTAGTACGCTAAGAAAAGCGGGTATAGAATTTTAAAATGCCATATATAAAGAGAAATTCATATAAGTAAGTAGTACTACCGTTAGTCAATGGCAAATTTATTGTTAGCTATAGCCTTTAAGTAGAGAATTTAATTTAAAATACCAATACACACTGTTTTCAGAAAACCATTAGTTATTACTGATTCATGTAAGACTTATACTTGTAGTTAAAGAAGTTTTCTCTGTCAATGCTAGTGAATTTTTTCGCAAGTTAAGAGAATGTTTCTGGGCCTACTCGCCTTTTTTCTGGATTTTTCTTTTGTTTTTTTAGTTTCAATTTTTTTGTATTTTTGAATTTGTTATACATTTCACGTACTGCCATATATTAAACTTTAAATTTTTTAAGGTTTCTAATATCGGTAAAATCATTTAAAGTCACTTTTCTATTAATTTGTTACCATACAAATATATAATACACGTGCTTTATGGATGAAAAAGTTATTTTTTGTTTTTATACAAATTAAAAATGTGCCAAATCAGAAATATGGTAGTGAACAGCAGGAACAATTTTATATCTCTTCACCATGGAACTGGAATTTTTGAAACTGTTAAATCGATAGTTCAATGTTAAAACAGTGGGTGGTCTATATTAAATATTATTTCAATTTACACGTTTGACACTTTCCAAGACCTTGCATACACTGATTAATAACAAACAGCAATTCTAAACTGACTAGTATTGAACAACAGATTATTTTTACTTTGGAAAATGTTACAGCATTAAAATGTTATACTATATTGCTTTAAAAATTTTGTTTTATTACTTTTATTACACTCTGATAATGAAATAACATTTTTGGGTTACAAACATGATCAATGGATGGGAAAAAAATATTAGACATTTCGTTGAGTTTGTAAGCGCATACTACTTATTATAAAGCGTGACTCGCTGGAAAAATCAAATTGTTGCCATTCGCGCATTCTATGCTAACATTGTTATATTGATAATAATATTATTACATGTATTACCAATTTGGCATATTTTATTTTCATATAAACGCTTTATTAAATAAATTAGTGATAAGTTAAAGTTACTCTCAGAACAACATACTGGAACGACCGGTAAGCCTAGGTTTAACCGGTTAAAGTGTCGTCCAAATGTCCTCAAACCTAGGTCTACACTTTATTCTTGCTTTAACCGGAACATACACATATAATATTCGGCCAAAACCACAACATAATTAAGTACAACTTTTCATCATAACGAATTAACTAGTGAATAAACGTCTTGTGCTTTACTGTCTTACCTATGATGTATTTATTATAAAAAATAATTGGTTATTTTTTATTGACAATAAATTTACAGAGATTTGCTTTCAATATATAATATGAACTATAAATTAGTGCTTAATAAAAATATTTATCTCAATTTATTATTATAAAAAAATGTGTAAATATGTTTGTACATCCAAGTTTTTTTGTTGTTAAATTTTTATTTTTATTAAAAATTATCAATGGCTGTTGGAAAAAAATAAATCTGCAACTTGCTAAACGTGGAATGTGACTTACCGTCGCATTGAAGTTTCCGCATTATCGTCTTACTTTTGCAATAGTTTCATTATTTCAAAGAGATATTTTTCTTTTTGGAATACTGTTAAGTGTATATTTTTTTTTAATTCTAATTAGAACGTTTTTTCAATTTTGGGAACTGTCATATTAGCCCGTCGGATTTTAAATGTTAGTAAGTGATGATAATGATAAATGGGTGTATTGTCAAAACAAAAACTCAAGTGACGGACGTTTAAGTATATGCAAATTTATAGTGCGATTATGGAAAAAACAAAGTGAAAAAGTCTATGTAAATATACTATTAGATTTACCTTGTGAACATGTTTGTCAGTTAATGAAAATACAAATAACACATTCACACACACATTGTAATATGAAAAACGGCGCGAATGAACAAAGCACGTGAGTTTTACAATAAAAATACGGTCGCGTAGTTGAAATACAGCGAGAGTTGGTGTGGTACCTATACCAATGGAACCCCGAGAACTGAGGTTCCAGCGCCCTTCCAAGTCGCAAACGCGGACCCCTTCTATCCACAGTTATGATGCTACAATCTTACTGGATTTTCATGTGCCATACCATTACTTGGTCGTTGTAATTTTCTTTCAAATTCTTACTTCACACGGGATGATCACTCCGTTATTCTGTGTGCGATCGTACAAATTACTTAACTAGTACAGAGAGAAACAAAAATATATATATGATGCTTTATACATTTATGTAATTATAATTGTTGTAATAATATCACTATAAATCACCTAAAAAAAAATATTTTGAAGTATGTAAGGGGTTCTCTATTATTCCAGAAGCGCATTCATCTTTTAACGTCGATATTTCATCCACATAAAATTTTGAAATTACATGCTAGGACTTAAATTCTTCTAGCATCTTTATTATAAATATAAATGTAGTACAAAAATTGTGGAAACATCAAATATGTAGGTTGTAATTTGAAACAAACTTGAATACGATACCTAAATAATATAAAATCCCACATTTTTTTTAAATAAAAAATCATATTCGTACTCTAAAAAGACTTCAATTAGGTGGCGATGCCGCATTAATGACCTAAACTGTACTTTATAAAGAAATCAGAAAATTAGACATATGTATTTAAAATGCAGTGCCTGTTACGTATAAATATACAGTGCGATCAAAAAGTTTATCTATCAAGCAAGCCTATAGAAATTTAAAACGTGTGTCTGCGGAAGATAAAATGTCACAATCGTAAATAAGAAATGTCAAAATATTTTTTTTGTAAACTGTAACAACAAATCGTGGTGAACGATTTGTATGAATAAACTTCAACTACATCTCATTTTAGGGTGTTTTAAGACGTTTCATACAATAATTCAATTTGTTTCGGTCAATATTTTAATTTCTATAAAATAATTTTGTGACATCTAGCTGACATACAAAGTCCCAAGCGACATACGTCCTCAACTAGAACGCCTACTTGATAGAAAGACTTTTTGATCTCACTGTATAAAAAAATATATAATGTTTAAAGTCAAGGAAGTTAAGTTGGGCCTTTTGATTAATGGACCATAACGAATGTTGGTGACAGTATGACAGTTTTCTAGTAGGTAGATTATACAAAATAGTTATTTTGTTTCACATATTAAGCTATTTATTCTTCCAGTTTACGCCAGTAACAGTAAGAATACTGTTTTTAAAAACGTTTGGAAATTCAGAAGATTGTTGCAAAATTCTCACTGAACCGACATTGTGGCCTGTGACAATTTCGACTTTTCGAGTATTAAAAACATTTAAAATAACTAAATAAACAAAAGCATTAGCTACGAGTAGGTATTATGTAGATGTACTGCATGGCGACATGTATTTTCTGGACTTTGAAACATTTTTCATTTTCAAAAGCAAGTTTAACAAAATTTGGCTGAGATAAAACTTTCAGCACTTTATCTCGTATATTTATTTTGTTGTTGTTAATCGTAAATTGTATTGTTTTTTGAGTTTCTGATGACAAAAACAGTTATTTGTAGCTTTTTTACATTTTACACGTAATTTTAAAGGTACCCGGGAAAAAATAGAACAGCAATGTCATTCGGTTGACATGTAAGGCATAACGGCCTTAGATAAAATAACTTCACTTTGAAATTATCAATGATGTAGTTATATCACGTGTTCAAATGAAAAGTTTACCAACAAGTTAACTTGTTGATAGAAGAAGACGTAGTAAAAAACGAATATGTTTTCTTGTTTCGTATTACCTAATCTAAATTTTAATGACATTTTTGACGAGTGACATTTTATCAAAATTTTTGTATCGTTTTGTTCAGTTGTAATTTAATTCTTTCCTTGCGTTTTTTGGGGAGCAAATCAACTAAACACAAATAATTTTTTAATTTTGAATCTTAATAATTTTCAGAAAAACCTATTTTTTTTTGTAAAGTACCTATTATGTTGTAAATACGACAAAAATGTTATACGAAAAGTTGTTTAGAATCAACATTTAGGCTCCTACACCAAATTTCAAAATTATCTAACTAAGATTTTTCATTTTTATTCAAGATAGCTTTTTAATAACAGGTACGTCAAAGAGTTATTTAAAAAAGTTGATTGAAGTCAAAATCTTTGGTCCGTATAATTTTAAAAACCTCTGTGAATTTTGTTCTCTCACATTTTCTTTTATCTTTATTTCTCAAATTAAAGAATTTTATTTGTAACAAAGACCGCAATGGAAAAACAAAATTGTAATCATAACACTACTTTCTTAAACATCGTCTGTTTTTTTTTTAATAACGGGTGTTTTTTTTAATTTGGCGTCAAAACTATCCATGAAAGTTTGATTGTGAACAAACAATCGTATTGAAAGTTATTGCTGACATTTTACAATCCAATATATTCATACATATACAAAATTTTCAGACATTTGTTTCTTACATATCTACAACATTTTTTGCACTTTTCGATGTTTTTTTGGCCTCTGGGAATGTATTGGGTTAAATTTGGAATTTTCAAGTTTTCTGATTTATGTCAAAATTTTTCAAAAATTTATTTTCACGTTTCTAAAACATTTTATGATTTTTTTTGTGTCTCTAGGAGGCAGTTGGTTTAAATTTAAAGTTTTCAATTTTTGTGAAAATTTTGGTCGATTTTCGATACCAGTAGCTTTTAACTCATTTATCAGTTATCATAAGAATAATAAAAATTTATACTCTAGTATAAATTATACGAGTAAAGTATTTGCTCATATTATAAAATTCTCGATTTTTCGAGAAAACTTAAGTACTAAAACACTTAGTAAAAATCTTGATTTTTTTTAGAAAAATGAAAAATGTGTTTAAGATAAAAATATAGACTATTAAAAAACAAGTGTTGCAAACACTTACATTGTGATACGAGTGTTATAATGCACGAGAGGTTGTACAACCATGAGAGGTTGTAACACGTGTTTTATATAATATTTTTTTCTATTGGGCAATTTTTAAATTGAATTTATTATTACATTTGACAGTTAAAATTGTTGTTACTTGGCGTAGGTATGCGGTACCCAAATTGCTTCAAAATAGCTCAAATTACATTAGTTTTGATGAAATACGTTGATCTACCACAGTATGCACAGTCAATGATGGTAAAAATGTAGCATAAAAACAGTGTTACAAAGAACATTTTGGATAAGTTAAAGCAGTCGCACAAAATGCCTATTATGACACCGAAATAGAAAAAAGCTCTTATGCTTTTTTATGCGCTTTCCCTTACTTATTTATGCTTTGTTCACTTCTTTGTTCTTATTTTCTTTCTTATTATGATTTGGAGGTATAACTATTAATACCTAGTATTGCCTCCTCGAGCCTGGAAAGAAGCTTTCTTCCACTAAATAGTCACACAATTGTAGGGAGGGTAATGTTTACGTAGGTAATAATTGCAGCTATTTGTTTTTTGTTTTTTTTTGTAAATATAAAATAACACTATTTCTTTTTTGAAAACAAATTAATAGTTTTTTTAAAGAAATATTAAATATTTATTACATAAATTAAAAAAGGTGTGCTGTTGTCTCAAAAAGCGCTCCAGAGAGAAACAATTTTTAATTTGAAAATAAAGCAAAATGACAACGCCATAGCAACGACATAAAAGAAGGCGGTCTTAACGTACCACCCCATGGCCGGTGGAAGAAAGATTTGACAACAGATAAAATTTATAATTTTTTTTACATAAATTTAACATTTTCGATAAATATTTTGGTACATTTATAAAATGCATAAACATATCTTTGTAAAACAATAAATAAAAAACCGTTTTTATTTAAGAAAAAAATTATTAGTATGGTAATCTCAAAAGTTTAAACAATTAATTAAAATTAAAAAAATTGGCATCGCTTCTTTACAACCTTTAAACATTTATTAATTTATTTCCAAAAAAAACTGGAAATTTACTCAAAAAAAATTCTTTAATTTTTCTAGGTTAAACATTTTTTTAACAAAAAAGTGTGAGGTTTACAAAAAAGAATTTTTGCACAGCAACAATTTTTGTATCAAGCTCGTTGTCTAAAAAAAATAGTTGTATCTTTCCATTAAAAAAAAATTTACTATGTTTATCTCGTAAATATAAACAATTAATTAATATTCAAAATTTTTTTGAATAGCATTTTTATAGCCATTGCACACCTATAAATTTATTTGTCAAAAAAATGGATAGTTACGCCAGAATAAAATCGTTTCCAGACTTTTGGACCAGCCTATATATTATTTTTGCAGGAAAATTTATTTCTTTCGCTTAAAAAATAATTTATTACAACCAAAAATCTATTATCAACAACTAAACATGATGCATCATGCATCTATTGTCATTTTAGTAAACCACCTGCTGGAAAATTTATTTCTTTTCTTAAAAAACAATTTATTACGACCAAAAATCTATTATCAACAACTAAACATGATGCATCATGCATTTCATCATTTTAGTAAACCACCTTACACGAGGCTATAGCATTTTTTAACATGTACGTTTCTATTGGCAAACTATGTTTATTGTTAATTTATTAATTTCAAATTTGAAAGAAATGTTTCTGCTTAGAGCAAGAATAGAGACTAATAGAAAGAATTTGTATGGAGAGAATAAGATTTTCTATTGTGTATACAGGGTGAATATAAAGTATGGAACCAAGCGGTGTTATTTTTAATCATGAGCCTCCAGAAAATAATAATTATTATTAATTAAAGTAATATAAAAAATGTGATAGTATTTTCAGAACGAAATTTTGTTTGGTTTTTGAGTTATGCGATTTATGTAAAAAAAAAATTCTGAAAAAAATTAAATATAAAGCAGATAGCTGTAATCCTTAGAGTAAGCTTTTATGAGAAAAAAGATTTTATATTGGGTTGCCATTTAAAAAATAAAATTTTTTGTAGAACTTAAAAACAAAAGGTAATTTCGAAAATTTTTATTCTTGTTAAATCATCACATTTTTATGAATTTTTTTTTGAAAAAATAAATAGTTTAAGCAAAAAACGTTTGGTTTCATACTTTTTATTCACCTGGTATGGTATACCTACTTAGTTCGGTAAGCACTCTTTTTATCTATGGTAAGAGTAGGCAACCGAGAGGAATTTTTTCTACATTGTGTTAATAGTTGCCTAGCACACCAATCATTTTTTACTTATTTTTGCATTAGGAGTAGATGTACATCTACTATTTAATATATGAAAAAAATACTATTTAATATACAGGCTGTTACACCAGAGAAAAATTTCAAGTAAGGTAAGATACCAGGAACATGAGAAAAAATTCTATCTGTGAAAAAAAAATTGAAATTTATTTTTTGACATTTGACATTTTTTTATGTTATGTCTATTTAATGATACTGATAATCTTGTATATGTTTTTTTATGATTATTTAGTTAAAAGCCACAAATAACATCAAACAGATTTACAATTTAGGATACAACTTCCTTGTTTCCTCTTCTAATAGCCTATTGCAAAAAAACTTGTAAAATTATATTTCCAATAAAAATAAATAATAGAGTCAAAGTGCAAAATTTAAACTCTCATAACTTCGAAATTTATATAGGTAGATTTTTTAAATATTTTTTATGTTCCTGGTACCTTACATGGCATTTTATAAGTGACGAATAATGGATTTGTCATTTTTTAATAACTGAAAGGAAGATAAGAGTTTCTTTAAACGAATTTTTATGTTTTTTTAATTGCACTTAGTTACCATATTTGCTATTTGTAGAGGGTACAAACTTAAGTTTTATAATTTTTAAATTAGATACCTACTTAGAAAATTGTCAAATACACTAATACAAAAATATGTATTTTAGAAGGTGTGGTGTCATAGGCGAATAATGAAGAAAAATTATGGGACCTGTTTCTTGCTTCTCCGATTCGAAACTCTTTCGAGTAGCCAAAATGAATCTTCTATTAGACTAATCTTTCCCTTGTTGGTAGAATTAACTCTTCCAAACTGTTCATTTACTTCAACAGGAATCTGGATTTGAATCTAAATCTCAATTTTTTTCATTTTTCCTGTTCATGAACACTACTTCACCGACATATTTGTCATGTTTTACTAGTCGGTTACACAACTCTACAATTACCTACAGGTTGCGTCTGGGTTTATTTCCTGATTTTTTTATTTATTTTTTTATTTATTTTTTTATTTTATAATTATGGAAAAATATCCAGATCCTAGGTAAAGTTTGCTTTTAGAACCTTCGTTGATCCACGAATTTAAAAAAAATGGCTATAAAAAATTCCCCAACTTGTTTACTAATGACCAAAAGAGAACTTGGCATAGTTTCGAGCCTTTGCTTTTTTAAGAAACAATAAAATCGAAAATTACTAAGACCTAGATGAAAATATGATGAAGGTTCAGGATTAAGGATTAAGGGTGAGACCATGAGTTTGCAGGAATTACTTAAAAAAAATGCTAATTTAAAAAAAATTAGAAAAATTTGTATACCACATGCAAAGAGAACGTTTACACCGAGGCCTTATGAATTTGAATGTTGTTAAGACGAATACAAGGTGATTCTTTTAGGGCCTATATTAGAAACTTTTTAACTTCTAATGCAGATAGAAACTTGAAATTCAATTAAATTATTTTCAAAATAGCTGAACTTCCGGAACTTTGAAATTTTAAATGGTAACCACTAATTTTTATTGCATTTTTGAATTCTCCTCTCCAAACTGAGTAAAATGTGAATTTTTGCTCAAAATTTTCATTTGCAGAGGTTCATTAAAAACATCACAGCTCTTGAACCGTTTGCGATAAGTGAATATTTTTTCTTGCATTCGATAACCAAAGGTTCGAAGAGTTTCCTAAAATTTTCAAAATTGTCAACTGTTACATTGCAAAGCTTATATGATTTTTTGAAAATGATATTTTACAAACAGCTATAACTCAGTTTTTTCAAATAAAATGACCCTATTTTCTCAACGGCAATGGAAAGTACATAGATTTGTTGAAGGCCTTTTATCAACATGTCCTATACCTACCCATCTCTTACAGTTTCTGAAATAATCACGAAAAACGTGTTTTTGTTTTTTATTTTTATAGCGAATCACGTAGGCTTTGGAAAATGATCAATACGTATTAAAAATTTAGTCTACACAACACCCATCCGGAATTACGAAGAATTGAGGTATTTAATAATCTTCAACCAAATGAAATAATGGAAGCCACTCAAATCAGTTCACCATCGAGTTTTGGACTGTTTGAAAATGGTAAACATATTGAACATGTGTATTAATTATGGTATATCTTTATTGTATTTTTCCAAAGCCTACGTGATTAACTATAAAAATAAAAACAATAATATGTATTTCGTGATTATTTCAAAATAAGAATCAAGAATCACCTTGTATAATAAAAACTTTATTATGGAAGACTATGTTTAAGATTTAGTTAAAGAAAGTACCCTATGAGCATAGCAAGAAGAGTAACTGATGAGTTCATTTCTAAACTTTTTTTCATTGTTTTGTGTACTAATAGTTGAATAATAAAAAAATATACAATTATCTTAGCAATTGTTTTTCAACAAATGAATGATTAAAATTCACGGTTAAAATCAGAGATTTTCTTAAATACTAAAATAATGTTTTTCTAATCTTTTTTTGAAATTTGACATAAGGGCAAATAGACCAAATTTACGATATTGAGTTTTATGCTTTGAACTGTTGCATGCTGTGAGGTCATTCTGGCAAAAGGTCTAATGTATTGAAAGACAATTAAAGGATTTATGTTATCTAGTTTGGTCTTCTGCATTATACTGAAACAGTTTTTTTAATTTTCTCAAAACTGCTAAATGGCGTATTCGAACTTTTTCCAAATTACCATCGATGTTAATTTGGAAAAATTCAAATATGAATTATCATACTTTTTTTATGTAAAGAGTACTATAAGATGCACTAGATGTCGCTACTTATATTAATTTCTATAAGAAATTTAAGTAGACAACTATTATTACATTTTTGCGTTTGAAGTCATTTTTAATATGCAATTTAATTATTAATACATAATTTATAAAAATTGTATTCTGATGTTTTATTACGGCCTTTAAAAAGTTTATATTATTTTTTTCTTTAAATATTGTGTCAACCAAAATAATTATCGGCAACCCGCTACACGAGTTAACGGTTTTTGTTGGTATATTTCGTGGCCTCAGGTTGGCATACCTTTTGCAATTTAATTATTAAGACATAATTTATAAAATTACATTCTGATGTTTTATTACGGTCTTTAAAAAGTTTATATAATTTTTTTCTTTAATTTTTTTGTCAACAAAAATAATTACCGGCAACCCACTACACGAGTTAACAGTTTTTGTTGGTGTATTTCGTGGCCTCAGGTTGGCATACCTTTTTTATTTGACTTGAAAAGTGAAAACTTGTGCGTAACTGTGACGCTACTGTGTTTGCTGTTTTTTGTGAGTTATTTTAAAGAAAAAAGAACTCAAAAAAGTGGTAACGAGCACACATTTGCCCTTTGCACAATGAGTGAACACAAGAATCCTCCATCTCGCGTCCAGGTCTACGTTCGAGAAAGGTGAGTTTTCATGCACCCCGAAACTTTCATGTTTTGGTCATAATGGCGGATTTTCTCTAAAATATTCAAATTAACATTACAGACCTTATACTAAAAGTGAAATTGCATCCAAAAAACCTAGTGTTATTAAAGACTCAAATCAAAACGAACTCTTCGTTAAGTATGGTTCAATTCAGAAAAACTACTCTTTTGATGGAGTTTTTGGGTGTGGGGCTTTACAAGCGGAGGTTTACGATGTTGTTGTGCGCCCCTTGGTTGACTCGATGTTGTTGGGGTGCACTTGCACTGTTTTCGCTTATGGAGCAATCGAAACCGGCAAAACCTACACCATGATTGGCGACGATATCAACCCTTCGGTTAATTTTATGAATGTAAATATGAGTATCTCAGTTGGATTATTGTCACAGTGATAGTTTTAGGACCCTTCTGTTGGCATGGTACCAAGGGCAGGAGTTGACATTTTTAATAAACTATCTCAATTAGGGGTTGAATATAACGTAACTGCTTCCTTTGTCGAGATACACAATGAAGAAATCCGCGATCTTTTAGGGTTTGATGGTTCTTATTTGAGGTAAAGTTATAATTGTTAGTGGTTTTTGTTTATTTTTTAACTTTAGAATCTGTGATGATCCGGACAATGAGGGGGCAACATATATTAAAGGTTTGTCTAAGGTACCAGTAAACAATTGCAATGCACTCTTTGAAACGTTGATTATTGGGGCATCAAGTCAAAATTCAGGTTCTCATACCATCTTTACCATTGCCGCTACCATTCGCGAATTGTCTAATGGTGATGAGATTGTTAAAAGTGGTAAAATCCATTTGATTGATTTGGCTGGATGTGAGAACCTTGACCGTTCTGGAGCTACTGGGGCCAATAAGAAGTCACTTCAAACTTTGGCGAAAGTCATAAAAGCTCTCGCTTTAAAATCCGAACATATTCCCTACGGAGAATCGAAACTGACAAGAATTTTACAAGATAGTTTGGGCGGAAAAAGCAAAACCAGCATTATTGCGACATTTTCGCCTTCAGGTGACGTATTTGAAGAGACTCTTAGTACTTTGGGCTATGCACATATGGCTCGAAGTGTCTTTAATTGTCCGATTCATAACGTTATAAACATACGGAGAGATAACATGATTAAAGCTTTAAAACATGAAGTTAGTACTCTACTTCAGGAATTAAACGTTACCAGGGAAGAGTTCTATATAGATGCTGAAAACTACGAGAAGCTGCTTCTCGAAGCCAAAGCCAAACACGAAAGAGTCGTCACACTTACAACAGAAATAACAAGATTAGATGGTAATATCAAGCGTGAAGAGCAGTGTTCTGATGAATTGGAGAAGAATCTCCACACTGCCACATTGGAAGCTATAACAAAAAAGTTGGAACAAGAAACCATCAAACAGGAAGAGAGTGAACATGATGGTGCTTGCATGAGCGATAATCTGTCACAATTGGAAGAACAATCAAGAGTTCTACAAGACGTTTCTAACCAGAACTATGAAGCTCAGTCTGAGGCAACATTACATAATGCAAAAATCGCTAACGAAATGGTCTCGGTTTTATCCAAGAACTTGAAAAACTTTGAATGCACTCTAGAACAATTTCGAGAAAATGAACAAACAGATTTGACTACTATAGCTACAAGCAATGGACGCATTAAAGACACCGTACTTAACGACTTAAAACGTTTAAAACAACTTTTACGCGACGTAGCTGCTTTTACCGAGAGTCTTAAATGCTCGTTTGAGACTTTGTTCAAGGATACGAGATTCACAGAAAGAGGCGCTAGAGCAACTTTAACGTCTACGAATGATGACAATCATAAACTGCTGGGACAGTATTTTGAAAAAGTTAAAGCAACTCTTGGAAGACTTAAAGATTACATCGATATTGCTACAGCTTCATTGGCGGAAGCAACGTTTCAATATGAGAATGATGTTAGCACACAGTTTTCCTTGTTGAGTAACATGTACGATAGATACTACTCCTTGTTGTATTCTTTACATGCAAATATGCAGAAACGTTACATTCGAATTAAACGTTTAATAATTCAAGGCGATGAAAGCGTCCAAACGTGGGAGACGCTTATAAAATTACTACTCCAGAAATTCGAGGATTTGTGGTTGGAATTGGAAACCATAGTACACGCAAAAGGATACGTTAAGAGAACAACCGACTTGTTGAAAAAAGAAACTTCTGCAGTTAGCCGCAACCTAAAGATGCTTTTTAACAAATTCATGCAACAAACGGTATAATACTACTATAAATAGCTTTCATTATTATCTCTTGTTTGTAGGCGCATCCTCAACTAGAAGATCTCCAGTTGAATGTTAAAACGGCTCAAGCCGTAATTCAAGAAGAGCAAGGGATGTGCATTGAGATGGTTTCTGAAAATCATCGCCACAACCAAGATTACTTTGCTAGATTCTTTAATACAATTACAAAAGGTGTAGAGGATCATAATGAGGTATGTTTTATTGATTTTATTGACTGTAAATAAATGTTTGGTGTTGTAGGGAGTTGTTGAAAAAGTGGAAACTATGGCAAAAGAGGCTTTTAGTATGCTACAAAATCAACATCGCATCACTGGGGAACACTCCAAACGTATTTCAACTGCCGTTGACAATGTTATTATGAACGAAAATCGTTACACGGCAAGAGTGATGCAAATTTCTCAACAAACCGTTGAAAACCTGGAAGAGACGGTACAAAAAATTAAAAAAGAAAAAGAGTAACTGCAAAATTAACATTGTCTATTATCTGTTCTAAGATTTTTACGGTATATTGCATGTTTGATTGTCAAGTGTTTCCCTTTAAGAGACTTATTCTTGGATACTAGAATCTTAAAAAAGTATAAGTCCTTCCTTACAAGACAATTGCATTGTCATACTTTACCCTTATTTATTTTGTTGTTTGCTAGCTTTAGTTTGTTATGTTGTTTTACTTATAATAACTTATGTGCAATGAATTAAGTTTTGCAAATTTTGTTTGACTGCAAAACTAAAAACATTTGCAAATTACATTGAAATTAAGATAAGAATATGTTACGATAGTTTTGCTGTTTGTTCGGTGCAAAGCTTTAAGTGAAAAACTTCCTAGTCTCCCTAGTCAGGATAGTATTCATTAAAGATTCCATTTGATGTTTTTTAAATTATTCAGTATTGTTTTTGATGTTCCTATTTTGTAATATTTTGTGAAGGTTTTTAAAAAACCAAATAAACTATAAAAACAATTGATTGTCTTTTTTTAATAGAGGAGTATGAAAGTACAAACTTTTTGAGATATTTGAACCAAAAAGTCGAACAAGACTTTTATATTGTTTTTAAAGTGATTAAGCATGAACCGCTTTAATTTACTTCTTATATGGACTTTAATGTAATTTTTTAATGGCGTCATTATCTTTTTTACTTAGGGAGTTTCGAATTCATAACATGGCGATTGGCAGTACTTTTAGGTCAATGACCCTGACAGTTCGGTTGGCAACGTAGTGTAGTATCTACTAGACCAATCAAAGTCGGCACTGCCAATCTTACAATTGAGAAAGTTACTACCCTTGCTCGTGGTGGTAGTACTGGTAATTTATCCAGAAAAAAGTTAGATAAATAGAGCTAATTTTATTAAGTTTGTTAGCAGTTTACATTAAAATGGCACTCATGTGCTAAAGTAAATCATGAAAATGACTTCATGTGTTTTTTTTTGTCGAAAAAATATAATAATACTTGCTATCATTAATTATTTAGATCATAGTTTCATATGAAATTAAACATGTTACAATATTAATGGTGTTTTTAAATCAAGTGATCAACTATGCACAAAACTTGAAACGTTTTTCCGACTTACAAGTTGTGTTCAAAAAAAGCGTACATATAGTGTGTACAAAACATACGAGGAAAATTTCAGTAGCACCTTTAATCTTTTTTTTTTTTAATCTATAATACATTTCCTCAACATTATTAACATTGTTTCGCTATTTGTTGCATTATTATTATTATTAATCAAAACATAGACATATTTACTACAAAAGAAATAATACAAGTGTTATTGGAAAATTGAAAATTTTTGCATCACTTTAGAAATAAATTAAAAATGAAGAATTCCTATAAAGTGTAACTAATAATACAAATCTAAAACGTTAAAATCTTAATTCACTAGACACAAATCATTCAGTTAAAATCGATTTGTTTGCAATTGTAAGACAATAGAAGCTTTAAAAGTATTTTTAATCTTATCGTTATTTCAAAATATTACGTTTTGAGATGATTAAAAAATCGTATGTAACAATTAATAAAACGCAAGGTAGTAAAATCATTAACTAGGTGTTATTTCTGTTCCTTAAACGTCACTTGATTTGCGGAACGTTTACGCCTTTTATTTAGAAGTGGGTTATTTGAATTTTCTAGTGTTTTTATATGCACTTGGTCATAATCCACTCTCATTGTGGCCAATGATCGGGTCATTTCTTCCTGCACTTCCGGCCACATCTCTTCGCCTTCTTTCAACATTTTGTGTGTATGTAAAGGAGTTTGTGGGACAGCTGTGTATTGCTACAAACAACAGTTTAGCTGAACGCTTAAAAATAAAATTGTCGATTTACAGCAATCCATCTATTGCTCATGACTTGGTCAATTGTTAACCGCTTAGCCGGGTCCACATTAAGCATACCATTAATAAGGTCTTTAGCATCTTGACTAACATTTTGCCATTCAGGATTGGGGAATGTATATTGGCCCATTCTTATCCTATTTTTCATCCCTGGTGAAATCGCCAACCCATGATTGCTATAAAATGGAGGGAAACCACATAACCTGTTTGAAAAACGTATACAGTATGAATCCGTTTTAAGTAAAACTATATATATACTCGTACTTACAAAATGTACATAATAACTCCTAAAGACCAAACATCACAGCTCTTATCATATTTTTCAGGCCCTAAAACTTCTGGAGCTAAAAAATAGTTAATAAGACTATGAGTGAAACAACTACAAGTACTCAACAAACCAACATAATATGGTGTATAACAGGGTGTCTGAAGTGTGTCCTTCACTAAAGTTTCTTTTGCAAAACCAAAATCAGTTAACTTAAGTATACCGTAAGTACCCTTTTTTGAGTAGAGTAAATTCTCTGGTTTTAAGTCCCTGTGTGCAATATTATTATCATGTAAATATTTTACAGCAATGCATATTTCATGCATGATCTGTGCTGCCTCTTAAATTAATTAACAATGTAATTTCTCAAACCCAATACTTGACACATACCTCTTTCAGTAAATGCCCCATCTGGTTTGTCTTGAATCCTTTGAAAGAGTTCTCCACCTTCCATGCTAAAACAATCACAGTTGACTTACAGTTTTGTAAAATCGCCCCACAAACCATTCCATTACGACTAATAAACAAGAATTGTTATTATATTTATTTTCATATACATCAATAATATTGACTATATGACGGCAACCACTTGCTTGCCAATGTAAATCAACCTCTCTTCTGGCCTTCTGGCTGTCAACAAGTATCTGAAAAGTTCAAATGATATTTTGGGTTGTTTAACTCTAGTGGCACACCTTAAGAGCGAACTTCTCTCTTGTAGCTTTAGAAAAACATTCAACAACTTTACCGTTGATTCCAAGACCTAAAACCGTCTTTGTAATGTCGTAATCGTCAGTAATTGGCGTTTTCTTCGGGGTCCTGTTACTTTGGCGCATACTATTCTTTTCTTCCCTATTCATCTTTTTTTACTTATTTCAATTTCAACAAAATATCTAACTTCAGACAAACATTTATTTATTACTAAATGATTCTAAATTTTTGTTTACTTAGGGTACATAACCAATAAAGGAATCATAAGAAAGTGACATAATTTAACAAAAAATGGCGATCATGCGCAATACCAGCGGTTATTTTTTGACATTTCTGACATACCGACGTCACTGACGGGAAGGAGTAAAGCGGTTTTTATAATTTTTTCAGAAATAAATATGACTAATTTGCTAAATTCAATATGTATATTAATAACGAAATTAATATAATTGCAAATAATTATATACACTTATTATGAACCGAGGGCATAATCTAGAACTCGGGCATGTCTCTAAAGTCCATAATCTTTAATTATTATGCCCATGGTCATACAACTTTTCATCCAAATTGACCAAAATTCTTGAAATTCTTATCAAATAAATTGCCTATGCACCCAGGTGAATATTTAAAATTATTTTAGCCGATTGAAATTATTCTGATGTGTTTGAAAATCAGAATTGGTTGTTAGAAAGGGTACTTTTCCTCTTTAATAATCTTCAAAATAATAGCTACGTTATTTAATTTTTACACGTGAAAATTTAAATTCATTAAAAGAGAACAGGTAATCACTAGATGAAATTTGCGTTTTACGTTGATCAGCAGCAGATCACGTGTCTCTAAATTTTAGTCAGTCAACGAAAGAGTGCAAAGTATTCGCCTAATCACCTGATCTATGAGGAGTTTAAATTATTTGTCACAGATTATTTGTTTAGTGTATGACAAGGTTGACAAACATCGACGCGCCCTCTGTCGGCAGGGTTGGCATTCGCAATAGATTAATTACTGAGTGTTGAGTGTAGTGATGTGGTAGGACTGTCAAACAGTGTTTGATGATAGTGGTTCAAAGTTTGTAATCTTTTTGTTTAGTTTGTATAAATTACAAAAATGAACAGAAAAAAATCGGTAAACCCTGATCTTGTTGAAGAGAGAAAAAAATGTACATTTAATACTCAAGAACTGACACACTTGCTGGATGGCAGTGCAACAAAAACAGAAGAGAGACATAGCAGAGGTATGAACTTTGAACATCTTAATCACATATAAATTATGTGATCAGTGGTTCTTCGAGAAATCGATAAAAATAATTATGTTCTGCAATTTTTACGTCACACCAGCAAATCCACTCTTTAGATTACTATATAGTTTCTAGCAAGATTTCTAATTTTGGATCTAATAGAAGAAGAAACAGTTTCTAGTTTCTGTCTTTGAAATATTTAGTCACGAAGAAATTTTCCTAGTTTGAATTGCTAAATAAGTAAATAATTTGAAGAAAAATGCGGTTTTTAATTTTTTCTCTTCTAAAAATATACCTATGTATACAATAAAATTCGTTTAATGCCCAGGTTGTGTTCCTAGACCACAAAACTCTAAATCAAACATTAATTAAGTAAGGTCATTTTACATTAGTTACAATTAATGGGAAAAGGGAATAAAGTTAGTAAAGTCTGTTGACCTTTAAATGTTAAAATATTTAAAAATTTGTATATATATATATATCATATGTATCATATGGGGATACTAAATCTACTTTATTATCTGAAATTATTTTCAAGTGTATAGAGTGTTTCAGAAATAAGAAGTTATTTTTTTATTGTGATGATATTTTTTGCAATATTGTATGTATGTAGCTTTTTTTAAGTGTGAAACTTGATTTATCTACATGTCAGTTATTATTGCTTCAAGTATAGGTACTCGAAAAATGATAACATCGCAACTGTATTTTTTGAGGTGTAATGGTTTTACTTTCTGAATAAAAAAAAACAATCTGTGTCATAAACTGGAGCCACTATGACTTTCAATATGTGTTCTTGCTAGTTACAAAAGGGCCAATGAAGAAAAATATATTATATTGTATGATCAAGTAAATTCACTATTTTTTGTCAAATGAAAGATTTTTAAATTAGAATTTTAATTACATATACAGGGTGCGCCAGAACTCGCGCCCCAGAGAAAAAGGCCAAATAAGGTAAGATACCAGGAACATGGAAAAAATGTTAAAAAAATTTTATCTATAAAAATTTCGAAGTTATGAGAATTAAAATTTTGCACTATGATTCTATTTATTTTTGTTGGAAAAATAATTTTCCAAATTTTATTGCTATAGGCTATTAAAAGAGTAAACAAGGAAGATGTATCCTAAATTGTAACTCTGTTCAATGTTATTTGTAGGTTTTATTGGCAAAATTTTTGTCCCTTTACTAAATAATTGTAAAAAAACATATACAAGATAATCAGTATCATTAAATAGATATAAAAAAATGTCAAATGTCAAAAAATAAATGTCAAAATTGTTTGACAGATAGAATTTTTTAAACATTTTTTTCATGTTCCAGGTATCTTACCTTACTTGAAAATTTTCTCTGGGGCGCGAGTTCTGGCGCACCCTGTATACGTTTTGAATTGTTCGCGAACATGTCAGCTTGTGACACTTCTCCTTTTGAAATTTTTATAGTTGGCAAAGCTGTTTTGAGTTTGATAAATGGTACATTTTTTTTAAAAACAAACAGACTGACAAAAAAATAAATTTTTTCATTGTTATTTCGCTGAGGTGGTTATGTTTTATTTTTTGATGTTTGATGATTGGACCATTCTTGGTAATATCTTTGACTTACTGCTTATCGAACTATTAGTGCCAATCGACAATATCACTATTCTCTCAATTAAATAACTAAAGAGTTACATACTTGCTTTCACAAGAGAGAACAACTTTCTAATTTCACTTCCATGCAATTAAGTAACGAAAATTAATGAGTTCAATAGGGCCTGTCATTGTGGAAAATTAAAATATTTGTTATTTTTAGAAAAGTTTTTCCTCGAAGATCCAGAGTTACAGTCCAAAGTCCCATTAGAATATTTAAGTCACAAGGAAAAATATGAAGATGCTGTACGAAAAGCTTGTATTATATTCAGAAAAGTGCAAGAGCTTCAGAATGAAGGCAAAGGTGGTATGGATAATTTCAGGTATGAAAGTTTGCAAATCAGCTTTTTTATAACTTTCGTAACAATTATAAATTCTTTAGATTAGATTACAATATTTGATATCAGGTCTGATGTAATTGTAATCTGATTGTATTTAATTGTATTTGGGTAGATAAGCTTATTTTCATTTTTCAATTTTTATATGTTCTCATTTCTTCCTCTTTTAAAAAGTCGCCAAGTTATAAAATTCACAAAATTTTATTTCAAATTTGATATGTTAAATCTGACTATTTTTTTGTAGCAGCTGCCAAAAGGGCTTTATTTTATTTCTCATGTGTATGACTCTTTGCTTTCCAGTTTATTTGTTATCTTATCAGTTATCAAGTCATTGTCAATTTTATTGAAGAACCTAATTTTAATATAATGGAAAACTTTGTTTCATCTACGTTATCTACATTGCGAACTTTGCCATTTACCAGTGGCGTGCGATATTTGAGGCAAGGAAAATATATTATTTATTATGAAATGCGATTTCTTCGTTCATCTATGCTAACGTTAAAACAATATGGAAATAGTAATTTTACTTCATTTTATTCCGTTTACGTCTTTGAGTATTTTCATCCTGCTTTTTAACAAATTTTTAACATCTTAATATTATTCTTCGCGTTACTGTGGTCCTCCATTTCCAAATTTACGCATTTATATTACTTTTTGCTAAGTATATTATTTAGTACTTATGTGTTGTGAAGTGATATTATAACTCTATATGTACATTGTTTTCTTGATCTTTTCTTCAGATTTTTTTGAATTCTTACTTTTCAGTCTTATTTGGACTTTTTTAAATAAATTTTTAATAAATACATTATTGTGGTTTTGTGTTTTAAAGGTACGCGTTTATGTCTATGTACTGACCTCTTTTTTAACACTTTTGTAAATAGAAAAATTGCAAACCTGTTTTGCTTGAAGGCCATGAACATCCAATAATGCTACTGGGACATAAAAAATTATTACGTGCCTAGTGATAAATAAACAGTTTTATATATTTTTCATTATAACTACGTAACAATGTAATTATAGTTTCAAGCGTATTTAATAATGTCAATAGGTATAGTTTAAACAATTAAATTTAACTTTAATTATTTTTAAATGGAAGCACTGCAAAGTACTATCAGAATTTTAATTTTTTTCTTAATTGTGGTCAACACAATACATTTAAACATTTTTTTAAAATTGAATGTAGTCTACTTAACCACAAATAAAACTTATCATTATCAAAATAAGCAACTCTTTTATTGTCAACTTTTTTATTAACTAAAGATTTTAATTATCGATTTTATCGTTTTACAGAGAAATATTGGGTGGCCAGTTAGGTTCTGCAATTTTGAAAGATGGCAATCCATTAACGCTGCATTATGTTATGTTCATTCCAACACTGATGGGACAGGGAACAATAGAACAACAAGCCGAATGGATACAAAAAGCGTGGAATTGTGATATTATAGGAACTTACGCACAAGTACGCTGGTGGAATTTATGTAGGCAATTTTTATTTTTTTACATATTTACAGACTGAATTAGGTCATGGAACATTTATCAGAGGTCTTGAAACAACTGCCACTTACGATCCTTCCACAGAGGAATTTGTTCTGCACAGTCCAACTCTAACGTCTTATAAATGGTGGCCAGGAGGATGTTAGTACAAAAAATTGATAATAACCACTTGTAACTAATTTTTGCAGTGGGTCATTCTGCGAATTACGCCGTTGTGGTCGCCCAGCTGTACACAAAGGGCACATGTCAGGGGATACATCCATTTATCGTTCAACTTCGCGATGAGGAAACCCATGAGCCTTTGCCAGGTATTAAAATAGGTGAAATTGGATGCAAACTTGGTATGAACAGTACCAACAATGGTTATCTTGGTTTTGACAATGTTAGAATACCAAGAATCAATATGTTAATGAAAAATAGTCAAGTGTTGCCTGTAAGTAATGTTATTAAATTCGATCCACTATTAAAAAAGTTGTTTAGGATGGCACTTACGTTAAATCACCCAGTAGTAAATTAACTTATGGAACAATGATTTTTGTCAGAGTTGTAATAGTGCAAGACGCTGCACATTACTTGCGAAAAGCTGTAACTATAGCCACAAGATACAGTGCTGTTCGTCACCAATCACAAATCAAACCCGAGTAAGTTACACTTTAATAACACAGGGCGACAAAAAAAATCATGTCGTGACAATTTGACAAATTATATATCATTTTGAGGAAATCTTTTTCAAATCAAATCACTTTCCATTCAGATTCCAACTTGTTCACTTTGTTGTAGCTTTCTGAACTTTTTTTTGAAAGTTTTTTCAGCGAATGCTTTCTCATCACTTTCGAGTGATGTTGAATGCAATAAGTCAGTTGCTTCATGTGCAACTGTTATCACAACAACTACTACCTACAAGCTAACTGAAGCTAATCGTAGAAAGTACCAACAAAATAAATCAGGTGACTTATTGCATTTAACATCACTCGAAAGTGATGAGAAAGCATTTGCTCAGAACATTTTCAAAAAAATTCAGAAAGCTAGAACAAAGTGAACAAGTCGAAATCTGAATGGAATGTGACTTGATTTGAAAAAGATTTGGCCTTATATTTAAGGCTCGTACCTTAAACTTCTAGATCCTCTTTGCTCAATGATCAGTGGTCATTTTCAGAACGAAAAAACTCTTTATTTGCTTTAATTAGTACGCAGGTACTCTTTTTTTGTTTTAAGTAAAGAAAAAGTTTTTGTTTATTCTAATTAGAACAAAGAAGATGCATTTTTAAGCAAAAGAAGAGTCTTAAAACAAATACTTTTATAAAAATGCAATTTTAAGTAAGATTAACATGCATTTTTCCTATATGGCGCAATGCTTTATTAGCAAACCTTAGCTTCAAAGAACTACTCGGTATATTCTTTTAAAAATTTGGATTACAACTAATAATCACGATGGTGATGATGAAAAAAATAATTACTCGTAGGGTTTTTCTTAGAATATTTCGATTTACTTCGAACTTCTTTGAACAGTGTTCGAAGAAAAGTTTGCCAATATTCAAATTCAAATTTCATATCGTTCTAAAGGGCAAGTCCATCCCTTTAGAATCGTCTTTATTTGAAGAAAATCGGCCTAATAGTTATTGAGTAATGATTTTTTAAAATTAAAGTATTTTAAATTCATTTTAATTAGAAAAAAAATATTTAGTTCAAAGTCTTTTGAATTTTTTTTGTGCATTTGATTTGTCTCACTGAGACGAACAAAATAATATATAATTTGTCAAGTTGTCACGAGATGCCTTTTTTGGGTCGCCCTGTGTAATAAGTAAAAAAATATTAGTTAATTTGTTTTAGTGAACCGGAACCCCAAATTATCGATTTCGTAACACAACAGTATAAATTGTTTCCTCAAATCGCTACTTATTTTGCATTCCAATATAGCGGATCTTGGCTGTGGGATATTTACAACAATGTGACTAACGAACTTGAATCTGGACAACTAGAAAGCTTGCCTGAAGTAAGTTTTTTATCAAGTTGGTTAAATCATCTAATATATTTTCAGCTTCATGCTATTGCCTGTTGCCTGAAAGCTGTGAGCAGTGCTGACGCAGCTAGTGGAGTGGAAATTTGTCGTTTGGCGTGTGGAGGCCACGGTTACATGACTTCGTCCAACCTTCCTTCAACTTACGGCTTAGTAACGGCAATGTGCACTTATGAGGGCGAAAACACTGTTCTTTTACTGCAAACCTCACGTTTTCTTATAAAGTCCTGGCAAAATCGTAATAAATTGGACAAGTTGGCCACTGTTGCATACTTAGGACGCAAAATAAGTAACAATCCGTTTGAAAAATCCGTAGAATGGATCATTTACGCATTGCAGAAAACTGCATCGAGGTGGAGATTTAAATTGATTGATGATTTGTTAAATTAAGATTTTCAATTGTAGCAAAATCGAACTGGCAAATAACCGTATAAATGCAAGAGTACGAAATGGGAAGAAATACGAAGATGCCTGGAATGAGACTTCAATTGAACTTGTAGCGGCCGCTGAAGCTCACTGTAGATGTTTCATTGTTACAACCTTTTACAATAAGGTTAATAGTTTGAATGTCTCTAAGGAACTGAAAACTGTGCTGATTCAACTTATGAATTTGTATGCCGTTTATACTGCACTTAGATTAACGGGTGATCTTTTTAGAGTAAGTAAATTGATAATTTAGTATGTAATGTAACGTAAATGTGTTTATAGTTTACGAATATCACCGGACAAGATGTAGAAACACTCCAGGACTGGCTGGAAGAACTGTTGGCACTTATACGTCCCAATGCAATTGGAATTGTTGACAGTTTTGATATTCGTGACGAGGTTTTAGGTTCTACTTTGGGAGCTTATGACGGAAACGTATATGAAAGATTATACGAAGAAGCGTCAAAAAGTCCACTTAATTCCGAGCCAGTAAACAAATCATTCAAATCATACTTAAAACCTTTCATGAAATCAAATTTGTAAATTTTGAAAAAATTAATTTAGTTTAGCTTTGGAATAGGGGACCAGCAGTAGTAATTGTATTGAACAAAAGACGTCTTTGTTTAGTTAAACTAACAGAGATCATGTGATTTAAAACTGTACTTGGTGTTTAGTCGTGAAGCAAAAAATGTTTTTAAGAGAGTATACGTTTGTTAATTAAAAACATTGGAATAAAACGAAGAGTTTTTTACCCCATCTCATCAAAAGGGCTTATTAAGAGTTCTTGACATATTGATCTTTATAATAACCACAATATACAAGGTGTCTTAGAAATGCGGAAATTAATTTTAACCAGTGACAGATTTCTTCACAAAAAATTGTTATGTACCAGTTTTTCAAAATCTATATTTTTTTACGGGTTCTGCACGTGGTAAATAAGGCATTTATTTCTGCCAATTTTTATTATAACACGATATAATATTTGAAAACTTGTCCCAGATCCGAAGGAACAGAACAGAACAGTCAACTTATCTTTTTTTTTTGAAAATTAAGTCTTTCGATTAAGTTCGTTTAGAGTGCCACTCACTCCTTTTTTATGCCCGAAAACCATTTCGATACGTTTTATTTTGTGAAAAAAATCGGGAATGACTTTGGAAAGTATCAGTAGTAAAAAAATGGTTTCAAGGAAAGATCTCGAGAACAAGTTTGTTCCTTGTGTTACGTCAGTAGACAAGAAAATGGTTCTGATTGTAACAGAATTCTTTTTGAATTCAAAAAATGTTTCTTTCACCATAAATGGTGCCAAATGTGATGGTTTTTCGTGTTTTATTATTTTATCATTCTTATTTAATTTTTTGAGTGAGAATTTGTCATAACGAAGCGTACAATGTTGTATTGGTCCACTGTATAATTTGTCAGTGGGGATCCCATTGAATGGGATAATAATGTAATTTTCGCTCCATCATCGCTGGACTAATAATAGAAATATCGAATCAAAAAATTAATGTACGTTGTAGTATTAATAAATTATGTTTAATCAGAATTAGTGAAGCAGAAAAAGAATTTTAAATAAACATCGAATTATTTCGATTTATTGTAATACTAAGTATCGATGTAAAATATTCGATGTATACAGACAAACATCGAAGTTTTAGGAATATCGATACTTATTTCCTATCCTTATTTGCCTTATTCCTAACTGTCAAAGTGAAAATCCTTTTTATTTATTTGGTTATCCATGTTCCATCAAAAATCGAAGAAAAAGCCACCTCCAAGGCCTCCACCTCCGAATTTTATGAAATACAAGAGTAAGTCGTCGTATAACCTAACTCAAAGGACTCCAAATTTGATCGAATGGAGCCCCCCAAGTTCACCAAAACCAGAACGTACTCACCAGTTTGGAGGAAGTGTCTCAAGTTCATACAGTAGCAGTACTAGCAGTCTAAGTTCTAGTAAAAAAAGTTTAGAGAATGATAATTCTCTATTTAATATAAATGCGTCAACAATAAATTGGTTAAGCAATACTTCCAATATGCAAGTAAAGGAGACTACAAATGCTGCAAAACCAAGAATAATTCGTGCAGCTCCTCCAAAGAAGTGCAAAGAGGAAGCAGCAACTAATGGGTCACCACCAATGCCAAAAGTGCCTCCTCCAAGTCCCCCAAAAGGAGGTTTTGACGTTATAACACCATATGGGATTGCTTTGTTTGATTTTCCAGCTACACAACCTGGCGACTTGTCACTACAGGTAATTTCCCAAATTTTAGCTTACAAAGTTTTCTTCTAATTATGGGATTTTGCAGGTCAATGACGTAGTGGAACTAATAAGAAGAGTTAATAGTGAGTGGTTGTATGGAAAAGTTTGTGATAAGGAAGGAATATTTCCTGAAAATTTTATTCAAATCCAAGTGCCTTTACCTGGTGAAGACCAAATAGTTACAGTTTTATATGAATTTACGCCTCAGATGGCAGGAGATTTGCCTTTAAAACCCGGACAGAAAGTCAAAGTTATCAAAAAAGTGTCCGATGATTGGCTTTACGGGGAATGCAACGGCCTGAAAGGACAGTTCCCAAAGAATTTTGTTTCTTAAGTTAACTGTCTTGAGTATTACCATGTGATTGTCCACATATTAAATGTGATAATTGTGCCTGAATAGGCCTTAAGTTTTGTAAATCTGTTTTTGTTGAAATAAATGTAAAGTATTTTTTTAATGTGTACCGTTAATGAAAATAGACATTGTAAGAAAACACAGTTGTTCATTAACAATTTACTAGACTACATTTCATATAATAATTAACTTCTAAACAATTTTCAAAGTAACATTTAAACAAGTCACAAAAATATGTTTAAAGTACAGATATGATAAGCCATTTCTCGAAAAAATGGAACAATCAACTTTAAAACATTCCCTACCCAAATGTTCGAAACCAAATAATTATAGTTATAAATCTAAACCATAAGCAACTAACTCCAATTATATTTCATCATAAATATACACAATTAGCTTGACATACAAATTTAATATGTTGATTAGGAAAATATGAGTACACAGCACCTCACGTTACTAAAATATTTCTTATTACAATTTGTACTATTGTATAATTTAGTAATTACCGATTAAAAAAAGCAACAAACCATCCATATGTCTACTATCACATATAATGCCTTATATACAAAGTTAAATGGTAGAAATTCCCAATGAAGTCTATTTATACATACGTTGTTTAATGCTACATATTTACATTAGCTTGTTAAATCTGTGCTAGTCTGGTCTGTATATAGGAATTTTTGGTAAAAACTCTATTAAAATTACGTATTCCATCATGGATGACGAATCGCATTGCTGTTTTGTCAAACGCCAATGCAACCCTAGTTTATTATAAAGGTAACTATTCTCCCATTCTAGAAGTTTATTTAAGGAATGCTGGGTCTGAAACAAAAGCTAAACACCTGTTTTTAAAACACACTCACTTACCCTTTTACTAAGACAAATAACAGGCCACAGTGAACAACCTAGTGTACAGCAGCAGCATAAGCAACCACAAAAAAGCCATTTCACATTAACTGGTAATGTCTTTTTTAAAATTGCATTTATACGCATTACAGTTTCGGTGAATTCTTCAGGGGCTACACGCGACACGAGCCCACTAGGAAACTCGGTGCTAAATCGGTTACTCAGTCCAAATCTGCCAGTAAGTAAATCACTAGTAGGTTTTAGGCATTTTTTTTAAATTACTTACACAGTCATGTTGCCTGCACCCCTGATCACAACGGGATCAGGAACCAAAGAGACATCAGCTGATTCAGGTTCTTCGACATTTTCTTCTTCTTCCTCATAGTAAATTGCATCAAAACCTTCCATGTGTCTCGGAATCTACTCAAGTTTATCTCCACATAAATTCTGTTTTGTTATTTTAGTACACACTTACCCCAACAAATTAGAATATTTCACACGGTTTTGATAACAAAACAAAAGAAAAACTTTCAAAAGTGTGCTTCAAGACTTAATCAAAACGAACAAAATTTTTTGTTTACTTTCTATTTCCGTGAAATACATTATTTTGGTTAATTTTATCATGGACATGGATTAAGAAGATCAACACCGTTTTCTTTTTTTTCACATAGCTATCGCGACGCCATCTTAACAAATCCCCTGCATAGTGCATTATCTTTTTACATTTATGTCATTACTAAAAACAAATTAAATAACAGCAAATATTTATTTTTACGTCATGTAGAATCGAATTTTACGGTTTTATTTCGTGAAAAAATAAAAAATATCGCTAGGTATTTTCTACCTAATACAGATTTCTATAATATTTATTTTTTTAAAACTTTCACTTTTATTGATAAAATAGTTTTATCTCGACTTCTGCGGTGCTGTAATTAATTAATTTCATTTTAAATTGCTCGGAGCAAAAATTATGGATAAAATGTGCGTTATAGATGAATTTATTTAATTAATTGTTTCTAAAAATGTCTTAACTACGACTAAATGTAACAGAGAAATTTATTTTAATTCTTTAAAAATGCCCAATGTACTGTGTGTTTGATTGTTTGATAGGTAATGATTTCATAAATTGAGAAAATAAAATTACAAGAATTTAGTAACAACGGAATTCCACAGAAGTAGAAACATCTCGGTTTTTTCCACTACATCCCACAGGAATATAAAATTGTAGAGAGTAAATTTCAGAAAACGGAGGTGTTGATTTGCTGATTTAAATTGAAAAATTTGCAATTTTTTAAAATTTGAAGAATAAGTATCAAGATTACTTAAAAGTGAGAATTAAGTATTCCAATTTTTTTAAATTGAAAATAGCTTAAATTGCATTAGTTTTAATGAAATAAGTATAACAATTTCTCACAGTATGATGATAGAAATGTAGCAAAAAATGTTTTTAAAAACATTGTCACAAAAAGCATTTTGTGTAACTGAAAACAATCGCACAAAATGCTCATTGTGACACCGAAATAAAAAAAGCTCTTATGCTTTTTTATGCACTTTTCCTTACTTATGCTTTGTTCACTTTTTTGTTCTTATGCTCCTTTCTCTTTCTTATTATGCTTTGCGTTTTTATTTGCTCTTATGCGCTCTTTCTCTCTTTTATTATACTTATGTGCACATGTTTTAAAGTTCGCGTTCTTATGCGCCCGCCATCGTTTATTGCAAATTAGTATTTGAATTTAAATTAGTAAAAAATTGTTGACCAAAAATTAATTTCTTGCATCTTTACAACGTTTTGTACTTTTCTAAGTCTCTTTAACCCCCAAGAGTGCAAATGGTTTAATTTTGAAATTTTTAATTTTTTCGATTTTTGTCGAAATTTTGGGCGATTTTTTGTATCTGAAGAGGTTCATTGCTAATCTAATAACCTCGGAATCATTGACGCTAGTTTTTTTTCTTTAGTACCGTTGAAAAAAAAAACTAAATTTTTTATCTACAATTGTCCTACGTTAAATAGTTATCGAGAAAATTGTTGATAAAGTTAAAAATATCTTAAATATTAATTCAAATATAACTTCTAAACGATCAAGAATTTTAGAATATGCATATAATATGTATGCACAAAAACATTATAATATTGGAGGCACAGTTTTTGACTCAATTTACAAAATAAAAACAAAAAACAAAATGACAACATCGAAAATTATTGTATAGAAAATTCAAATGTTTAATTTGATTGTTTTAAAAGTATAATTTTAGTTTTATTACCACTACACGATAATTTTGCCTGATTTTGATGGGGGGGCGGGGGATGACCCCCAAAACCCCTCTTTGCTGCGCTAATATATATTAGGAGTAATTATTAAGATCACATAAACGCGATGAAGTATTTCATCTTGACTCTCTACAAATGCATTCTTCTTTGGGATTTGATGGAAATAACCAAAGGTGGTGGTGCTTGGAGAATTCTCGTAATCGTTTATTCTCGAGGTTCTGTATTCTCGCCTGCGTAATAGAACCTTCAATTTCTCTCAAACGTCAAAAACGTCAAAATTGATGGGATCAGAAATAAATTCTTAATTAATTAATTAAAATAGTAGGATGGCGGGAGCCAAACTCCAGGACGATATAAACAATATTCCTCTAGCTGACGACGACCCTCAAGGTATGTTAAATTGTAATTTTTTGATTTTTTGCCAAGTGAGGTTACTGCCCTTAGTAATAATAAACGATGAGCCCGAGCAAAATTCCATGTCGGACGGCAATTCATCTAGTATGATTCATGGTAGAAGCATGGATTCAATTCAGTCAACATTCACAAACGGCAGCTCTAGTCCCCAACACAACAGTTTAGAACCTGACACAAGTCCAGATGAACAAGAGGAGAAAGCTCGTCTGATATCTCAAGTTTTGGAGTTACAAAACACCCTCGATGATTTGTCACAGAGGGTGGATAGTGTTAAAGAAGAGAATCTTAAATTACGATCTGAGAATCAAGTTTTGGGCCAATACATTGAAAACTTGATGTCCGCTTCTAGTGTTTTTCAATCAACTTCACCAAAAATTAAGAAGAAGTAAATTGAGTTAAACTGCGCTAAATTTGATTGGTATTAGGTTTTAAATGTTTTGTGAAGTTTAGTTGAAGCTACTGCACAATGCTTTCATAATATCAGATAAGCACCAAGCATTTTAATCTGTGATTATTTGTAAGTATATTTCTTTTAAACACTGATCATGAGCAAATAAACCAAGGCATAAATTTATTGAATGTTATATGTAATGTATGATATACTATTTATAAATTATTCTAGTTAATTGCTTAAATTCATAGTTTTTGTCATAAATAAAGTGCTGACTTTAAAGTATTCGTTTCCATAACAAATCAACAACGTCCTTATAAAAACTTTATTTAACTACTACTAACTCAATATGAGTGATACAAGATATATACAGCTTTTTGTTAATATTTTACAAATCGTTTATGGCGCTGATTCAGTTTCAATGTTAACTTAAAATCAACTTATTATTAAAATTAATAACAGGTACATTCCTTATAAAATTTATATCACATTTATCAACAAACAACTCAGTCATAATAGTACTTATCATCATCGAGTAAGTCCTGCTTTACATGTCCGTTATTTAACGTGTGACTGTTTCTTTTAAGCGTTGCACTTTCATAATCACTACTATATTTTGATTTAAGTGTCCCGTTATTTAAAAGATTGTTTGATGTTGAAGCACTGTGTTTCTTAGACCTCTCTTGAAGAGGCATTGTAATGTAGGGATTTTGTTTAGGACTCATGTAATGTGGCGAACTGGGAATTTTGATCTTCCTCTTTTTGTGATAGTAGTGCGTCCCTCCAACTCCAGACACAAGACCGATGACTATACCGAGGAATAAGAAGAGAACTGCGCCCCCAGGGGATGCCAGCTGTGGAGACTCACTAGCCATTCTTGTTATATCTACTCCAAATATCACTATTAATAATTTAATATGACGATAATGTCAGAATTACCATTCAATTGTTCTGGAATACACATTCTTGTTTCAACGCTGTTCCCTTGACAGATATTCGGTCCGGCATTTAAGGTCCGACACTGACGTTGTCGGTGTTGTTCATTGTTCTTATCGCAAACAGACCACGAAGTCCAATTGCTCCACCCAAGAATTGCTGAAAAAATACGAATCAGTGTCCCTTTGTGCAAAAACTGCTGTTTCTGCTTAAAAAACAAAAACCTGTAACCTCATTTTCGAAAAAACAATAAACAAACAGATTTTTTCATTTAACCATTTATGCTGATTTTATGAAAATTATGACTTCGCTTTTAAATAATGAACTCACTACATTTTTTTTTAATTTTAGCAAATCATTAGATGAATAATGGACACTCACATTCGCACGGTTCATTCTGACAGGGCTCTTTTTCCCAATCATGGCCCGAACAGTTCGATCCTAAACAAACACGATGCCTCGTTCTGACCCCCCAACCACAGGAAGCATTGCAGGGTGACCATTCCGACCAGCAACCCCACTCTCGACAGTGATGTTTATTACACTCCCTAGTTTGCACAGATGGTCCTGTGCAACCGATCCCTTCACAATATCTCGTTCTATTTTGTAAGCCGCCCCCACACTGAACCGAACACTCCCCCCATGCCCCCCACACACTCCACTTAGGATGTTCAGTGTCTTTCATAAAACAGTTTTCATTATTACAAACTTCCTCCTTCATTGCGACCTTAATAAGAGATGATTTCACTGGAGCCTTACACGAGCACCTAAATATTATAAATTTAATTTCGTCAGATAATTATCCTGATTAACTACCTACCTGAAGCGTTTCTTGTAATCACCGGTGCTGTTGGTAAGACTGATCCAAGGTGTATTGACAATTTTCCTGTGTTCGTAATAATCGAATTTGAACTCTTCGTCATTTCCGACACAGAAATGTCCCCCATTTTCAGGATGTGGATTATTACAAATCCTTGTTCTTTTCTTACAGCCGGAGCAATGACTTGGGGAACAGTCACTCCAATCGCTCCAGTCACTCCAACCCCCATCTTGGGGAAGCGCCGGGCATGGGGGTATCTCAGCGTCACAAAATGCCTCAGTTCGGTCCTGTCCCACACACACTCGTCCCCCATGAGCCGGTGCCGGATTTGTACAGGTCCGGCTCCGGGTTTTCACAGCGGTGCCACAGGTGGCAGAACAGGCCGACCACGCGGACCACACTGACCACCCCCCATGCACTGTACAATTCGTCACCGCAATCGCAGGCCCACTACAGGGCAGGCCTCCATTTTTCGGGGCCGGGTTATTACACTCCCTTACTTGACACAAACAATTGTCAGATTCTGAATCGAGAGTGTTTCGTTGGACGCAAGGAGCCCAATTGGACCATGAGGACCATCCCCCGTCGATCACGGTGTCCAGAATCGGACACGTGGTCACTGCTTGTTTCCAGTATTTGTCCAGAGGGTCCGAATTCGGGGCTGTGGAACAGTTTTCGTACCGTTCGTTCCAACCGCAATAGGGGTCCATTGCATTCAAACAACTGTTTTTTGAAGTGTGGCGCATGCAATGATCGGAGGGGATTTTCATAACGTTTTGGTCGGTAGCGACGTATATGGATTTAGTGGCTTTTAAAAATTGGATACTTTTGATGGGAATTGCGGCGTCTTGGACTGTTTGCCAAATCTCCACGACGCAAGTTTCCTGGGTTCGAGGCAAGACCGAAATCTTTTTAATCACTCCCTCAGTTGTCGCAACGTAAATCACGTGAACGGAAGTGTGGATTTTTGTCGATAAAACATCGACTGTTATATGTGTGAATCTTTCTAACTGTGCAACGTGTAATGGGTTGAGAGTGGTTGCTTGAACAGCGCTGTCCATTAGTTGGTATTTAGAGGTTTCTAAAAGGTGGCTACTTCGAGGAGATGATTTACAGTTGAAGTGATCTCGATGATGTACGTTGTATTTCCCCCATGCGCTGTCCATGTTTTCTCTATACTTGAAAGGGCCCGCAAACGCGGCTTCAATCGACGATAAATTAAAAGCGCAAATTGCTGAGCCTGCTATACTATTACTCGGTGTTGTAAATGTAGCATAGACGATGTTTTCATCAGGTACATAAGACATGCTTTGAATTTCATCGAAATAAAACGGATATTCCCCACTAACCGAACAATTTAAACGTGCTTTTAGAAACGTCGTCCAATTATCCTTCAACATGGTGTGCCCCCCTGGATCATTTTTACAAACACGGGCTATTCTAGAATAAATAGTCTACAACAGAAATAAATATGCAAACTGAAGTGGGACACAAAATCCGTACCTTGCCACAATTCATGTACTCCACAGCTGTCTCTCTGAACAAGAAGTACACAAAATTTTCAGTCTCAAAAGTGCCCACAAACTGTGGATCATTCAACAAAAAACTATTGTATTGTTTCGTCCTGATCGTAACAGAGCCAACATTTTTGGAGAAGACGAAATCGGAACTGGAGAAATCTGTCGGTCCGCCAAAATAATACTCCCCTTGTTCTGACATAAAACCAGTGATGTTGGCGACAGGATTGTAAGGACATTTCGCCAAACCATCAACCCATTCAGTAACGTCTGACACATTTTCGATCTAAAATCCACAATGAAAACTCGAACCGGAACTCAAAAGTCGCTATACTTTTCTGGTGGAACACTGGGGGGAGAAGGCGTTTGTGCCGCAGACAAATAGGTTTTTACCATTTGTTAGCAAAATTTTGATGTAGTTGTGGCAAAACTCGTCGGATTGGCCTTTATTGATGCATTCGATTCGTTTGTCTCTGGAGGCTGGCCATTCGGCCGACTCCAGCAGCTCCAGTTTTGTCAAGGATAACCGAAATAAGACGTCTCTACAAGATAATAGAATGATAAATATAGGCTCATTTAGTGTTTAAGGAAGTAACTGGCACTTTTTATTTATTGCATGAGTGGTAAAACACCCACTTGATTTTTTTTACTAGCGCTTAAGTACCAAAGTCGGCGCCTGTGTTTACATTAATTAAAAAGTTGTAAAGCAGCCAATTATTACAAGTTTATGGATTAGACAAGCAATTACCTTTAACCCCTGATTTTTATTGTGTAATTTATTGTTATTACATTGTAATGTCGTTACTTTAGGTGAATATAAGTGAAAGATGATTGAAATTGGCATAGATTTATTTAACGGCATAAATATTGAGTAAACTTTGTCTATAATACAAATTTTATTTGTGTTAAATGCTGTAGACTTTTCTTTTAGAAAGTTATTTCATTAATTTCTTACCTTGCGCCGACTAAAACTTGATTCCTAGCTACATCGAAAAGCATTTGGGAGTAGGAGACAACCTCATCTTGTGAAAATTTGTTTAAAGATTGTTGAAGATCTAAAAAGGAAGTAACTTTGTTTCATCACATTTTTAAAACAAACTTTATGTAAATGTTGCATTGGTCTTTGTGAAGATTTTGTTGTCTCTTCTGATAAATTTATTTATTCAGCACACAAAAGCTATGTTTTTTGAGAAAAAACATTATTTATACTGTTGACCCACAAGTATTTCGTAAACGTGGCAACGCTCAAGTGTTTTTTTTTTTAAGTAAATATTTATTTGGAGCATCAGTTTTAATATATCTTACCTGTAATCCAGATTATTTATCTTTTAATAAATATCAATATCAAAAGGTAAATAACAATATCGAGAAACTTACTTTTCAAAAAAAAAAAAAAAAACGAAAAACTTACCTTGAAACGAAATATATCGAAAATCATGCTCCGCTGATAAAGTTAGTGTTAGAACAATCGACAGGCAAAATAAGAAATTTAAAAATCCATGTGGCACCATTCTTGCGCATGCTCTGAAAAAAATATCTAAATTGAAGTGCCGGGAAAACCGCAAAAGCAAATGCCATGCATGAAAACACACAATAATTTAGCAATTAGGGCGCAAATATTGACCGGCCAGTTTTTGTGCATGGCCCCAAAATCAATATTAAATTTCAAGGATACAAAATACCTCCAAAAATTACCAAAATAGGTTGTGTTGTTACAACAAAAATAATCTTCTAGTCTGTGTACTATTGATTGGTTAAATTGACGTTTCATGAAACCAATATTTAGCAATTGATGTTACGTAAATATAGCAATTTAGGTGTAAAAATTGTTTAAGTGTCCCTAAACATCTTATCGTTTGATTCTGTATATGTTTTTATCAACATTATTTTTAATTTATTTATTAGTTCTCTGAATTTTTCAACATTCATCTAATTCATATTAAAATTATAGCATTCCTGAAACACTCTGACACTGACATTGCCTGTATTTTATTTATATGAGCATAAATGTAAAATGCAGTTAATTGAAAATTAACGACCGACTTGAATATAAATAATTGGCTATGTATCTTCCTTCCAAACAGCGGCAAAGCTGTGTAATTTAAGATATTGTCTGTAATATAATTATACACTCAAATATGAAAATTAATGTATTAATTTTTGGCTAGTGCGTGACTCACGTTTTTTTTATTTGTTTCCAACAACTATCACGGCAAATAAGTTCCAAGAAGAAAAATTAGCATACTGTATTAGTGATTTTTATAAAAAAAGACATTAGGTTTGTACATAAATACAAATTGCTTCAGTGTTTTCGAGCAACCTGTAAATCTTCAAATAAATAAGAGTTGATCCAAAAACGGTTATCCAAGGCTGATTTCAAAACCAGCAGGCGCCTCGTGCATACATTTATTTCTTGTATTTCGACATATTTATTATATACTTCAATTTATAGTAAGTCAGTATTTATAATTATTATATCATTATAAAGGGAAAACAATCAAGCAAATTACATCACATTACAATGCCCCAGGAATAAGTTGTAGAAAACGTGATTTTGAGCTCCTTGAAGAGTCAAAGTCTAACAAACAAGAGATACGGATGTCCATCCACCATTTTCGAGCATGATACCTCTCGAAAAAATATCGAATTTCATTTCGAAACATGCACATCCATTAAGAAATGCCTGTCGTGGAATTTACATAACGTTAGGTTTTCCATAAAAGTAATCTTGTTTCATTTCACACAAATGTAGGCGATGTTTATTTATCGATTTACTACGAATCAGTTTCTTGATTTTTGAGAAAATATAGACATAAAAAACAATTGTTGTTCAAGGCAGCATCATTGGATTAACTGCTACACAATGCTTTCCCAAATCTCTTAACAAAAGATTCATTGTCGTCAAGTTTTTACCAATTATGTTTGTTATATAGCAGCCCGGATTTAATATAGACCGTATTTCCGGGTAGTAGTAAATTATTCAAATTTCTCATCGGCCGGATTGTTTCTTTAAGAATAAATTTAATTGTGTTGAAAGGTGGTAAATTACATTTTATCTCAAAACTCGTATATTTCCTCTCTCGAGCAATTTGTACAGCATGCGAGGTAATGTTTATTTGAATGCATGTATACATAAAAAGGCTATAAATGCAAGCAAGGTATCATTAACAATTTCCTTGACAAGGCTGTCTAATTTATAATACCAAGCAATGTGTAGCAAAAAGGCTGCCGCTTGAGACGAGTGCGTGTTCTTTGCTTTTACAAACTTGCAGATGAATCATGTAATTACGCATACTATCAAATTGTTTCTTTTAAAAGTAAGAAAAATATTAGTTCGCAGTTCAAGGAATGATAAAAGAAACAAGGAACATTTATTTTCTTACTAAATAAATGTCTTAGCTCAATAGTGGGTGCCAAGCAAGAAATTATGGAAATTGGACTCCTTAATCCGAAAAGAAACTAAATTTGCACAAATTGCGGCCTTCACGCGATTTCCTCTTCCTCGCTCAAGCATGCCGATACTCATTTTCAAAATTTAATTACACGTTTCAGCACTGTACGATTTTCCTTTCACTGAAATTTATTTGAATTAAAAAAAAATAATTACACATTCAAATATTCGGAAAGAAAATAACACAGTTTACGAAAAAATGGATAGAAAAATAATGGGAATTGGGAATTTTATTTTTTTTAAACTATGAAAAACTGAATATTTGTGATGGGCTTTTTGTCAGAAAAGTATGAAGGCGTGTACCAAAGTCTATTAATTATCATAATAAAAAAAGAATTAAATAAATTGTTACCTTATTTAGTAGACTTGATCTTAAAATAATGTGTCAACTTCTAGTATCTTGAAGAATGGAAGCAAGCACAAGTGTCTCATAAAATTTAGGTAAAATAAATATCTTGAGACCGGAAATTTGAAGAGACTTGCTTGTTAACTGGTAAAATACTTATTTCAACAACTAGTGTTGCAATTAACAAGCCGAATTTATGAGGAAAACAAGGAAAATGTTTTCTTTGTCGTTTATTTAAGGAAACTTGATCATTCATTAAATAAGTGCCAGTCTTAGAAGGTACGCCATTTATTTGTTTACTACGTAGCTCATCAGCAAAGAATATATCAGGGTTTTTATAGGACATTCTGACATTAATCTCAGGTACTGTCTTTTTGTGTGGCAATTTTCTTGACTTTGTAATTTGTTAATTGAGGTAGAGGTGAGTTACGAGTCATTGTTGCTTGGAAAAATCTCTTACACAACATAAACATGTTTGATAAATTTAAAAAAGCTGTCATTTTGGTGGTGTGAATGAGGCGCTTTATTCACAGAATTATCTTAAGAAAGGCATGAACGCAGTGACTCTAACCTCCTGACCCAAGGAATATTTAATACATTGACTTCTTAGAAATACGCAATTAACACTTTATTGAAGTCACATATTTTCTATTCTATTCTATTGAATGATATGTTATATATGTTAATATTCTAACAATTAAAATAAATTAATGAAATCGTCTCACTGTTTGGAAAATATTTAAAGCATGAGTAAATAGATCAGGGACTCTGTTCTATGTCTATGAATCTAAAATTGATAAAGCAGCCTGTCATAATCAATCATTATAATCCTGAAGGTTGGATTGAATTACATTATGCTTTTGAAGAAGTTTTTTTCGGTTATGCTTCACTTCAAGTCGGTTCAAAATCAAAAGAAACACGGAAATATAGAGCAGGAAAAATTTTCTCGTAAACATGTGATAAGCAAGTGTATTTTGAATTAAACATCTGCAAAATATTAATCCAATGATTTTTATTATCAATATTGACAACAATTATGCTGTAAAACAGACACACAGAAAACGCAAACGCATATAATTTGTTTTAAACAATAATTAAATGTAAAAATTTACATTTAGAGAAAAGTATGTTGATATAATCAAATTTAAAACAACAGGGGCATTTTTTAAACTTGTATAACTGGTGAACATTTTAGGTAAATATGTACATACAGGGTGTCAAAAAAATCCAGCAGAAGAAGGTGGAAAAGGAAATTTCTAGTGTTTTTTTAATTACCTCTGTTGTAAACTTTGATGACATTAGATTTTACTTTTTTTGGATGGCTGTAGAGCTATATAAGAATTTGCAAGAAAAGCAAAAACGCTTGTTGGTGTGAAATTATAATATGATTAGGTACCTACTACAGAGACAAAGTAATTACAAAGCAAATTAATTAAGCTTGTTTCATCAAATTTTTTGTTAAATTTTTCTGGATAAACTTATATGTGTTTATTTAATCTAGATTTAGTGATTGTAGTGTTACATAAAACAAGATAAAAGTGTTTTGGTATTATTGACAACACTCTTTTACGATCATTATCAATTTATCACTGATATATTTCTGATGACATATAAATTTTAGGACCTTTCATTATCGTCACGCAACTTTTAAATTATAATTCTTGGAGTAGCATCCAATTTAAAAAACTTGTTTTATATTAAAGCAACTTTTCTATTATATTATAGTACTCTTATTCTACGACCTTGTGGTCTATTTAAATTTTAAAATTTTCATGATGTGTTCACATTTTTCTTTGAAAATTTCACTCAAAGTAAATGTGATGAATTAAAGGTGGGTTGGAATGTTGAAAAACCTCACCTGAGTAATTAATAATTAAAAAATTTTCTGCGAATAGTGCGTGGTCAGAGATGTGTTAATAATGAGCGTTAAGGTAAGTATGCCATGTTCCGTCTCAATCGTGCGTTAATAATTTTCTCAAAAGTCTCGAACTGAATTAAAATCGAGATGTGTTTTAGTTAATTTAAGAAAACTTACAAGTATGATTTTCTATGAGCATAGTTGGGTAGACAGGTCAGTAAAGAGGGGAGAGCGGCAAGACATCGTCCAACTTTCCATCACATCAAAAATCTGTTTATAAATCTGCAAATATCACTAAAAATGTGCATTTTAAACACAAATCACAGTCACTAGTCGAACTACTCGTCCGAAAAACTCCTCATCTGCATAAAAATATAACACAGATGTTGGGAATAAATAAAATTATGGAACGACCTTGACTAGGTTGTTTGGGTATAAACACTGTGTTGCCTTTCTGTGAAGCGAAACGTTTAGGTTCATTGCATGAACGGTATTCGATTGCATGGAGTGGGTTATGAACTGTTCTAAAGAACTGTTCTCAGCTCTTGCCTGCCTCTCCGGTTGCGCAGCTCCATCTTACGATTCAGACATTCTATGATTAGATTAATCTTACAAACTCTGGTCCATAATCCAGCTCTTTGACCAGTAATTTTCACCAAATCACACACTTCAAACCTATATTTAAAAAAAAAGAAAACTTAAATGTTTAAAAAAACACAATTTTATTAAATTAACAAAATTACAAGATTTTCAAGCATTTCCTCAAAATAATACATAAGGTAATAAGCACAAATATACATAAACAAAACATGTGTTAGTTATGCTACCTAATTAAGTAATTAATTATACCACATTTATACAACATTTTGCACTAAGTATAAGTTTTTATTTATCACACTTTCATCGCAAAAAGGAAATTGATTAAAGTATTTGTTCATCTACAAATCGTAGAAAACAGGTAAATACTTTTGAGTTTACGTTTAAATTGGAACGTCAGCGTAGATTTACTTTTTTTAAACACACCAGTGTGCTACACAAGCTGTCTCAGAAATAAATTCATTGATTTTAATCAGGTGCAGAACTCGTCAAATGCAACATTTTTATGTACCATTTTTTCAAAAACGTAATAGTTATTAGGTTAAAATTATAAATCGTTTTCCTGTAAAATTTTACACCTACCTATGAATCAAATTGATTTGTTTTTCGATTGAAACAAATAAGTATGTATAATATTGTTTTTTTTTAATTTAATTAAAAACGTAAACAACTAAGTACATTGTATAATTGATTACAAATTTTCTTAGGAAAACTAACCAATAAACTCTAAACTGTTCATTAATATCTATTATTTCAACAATCAAAATAAGTTTATAATTAAGTTTATGTGCAATAATAGAATGCGCACCCAAAAAACATTACAAACAACTGCAATAATTGTCAGCTGAGAACGCGCTTATTTCTCTACCCCGGTCGAAACTCTCAAAAAACTCTCAAACAAATTCACAGTCACTGCTTTAAGTGAATTGAACAGCTCGTTATTTTACAACAGACAAAATGCCTAAAAAATCGATTTCGAAAAAATGGTATATAACAGTTTTGTTCTTCTTGAGAAGATCTGCCACAGGTTAAAATTAAAGTACTTATTCCTGAGACACGTTGTATTTGAAATTTTTATCGTTCTTAGGTCCAATTTTTTTAAATTTTTGCATGCATAATCAGAAACTAAATATTTATGGTCTTGAACGAATCGCAAGAACGTGTGATAAATCGTGAAATATTCTTTAACATCTGTTATAATTTTTTTTGTTTTTGTGCAATTAAGTAAGCGATAACAGTGGCAACTTTAATGCTTTCATAATAGACTTGCAGTCTAGAAGATAAGGAGATTTTATATCTAAAGATGTAATGGAACATTTTTTTGTACAGTTGTTTATCCATGATCAAAATCACGTTCACTCGCAATTATTTTTGCAATTTGGAACCATTAAGTCTATCGAAAGGTTATTACGTCTATGGTTTTCAATTTTATCAGATAGATTATTTCGTTAGTATTTTGTATTGAGTTTGATAAATCGGTGATTAATAGTTTAATTAGCAGAAGCCAATAGTTGTAATTAGACTAAAATGCCGGATATTCCAATTACACACTTGTAGTGGGTTTGTTTCACAGAAAAGTAGAGAGCTTAAAAGAGAAAATACTTTTTGTGTGTCTATTAAAATTAACAAAAACAAAACAGATCAGTCCGAGGTCAAGAAAAGAAGGTCGCCTACGTACATAAAGTACCTACAATTCTTCGAAATTGTTCATAAAATCTTGTTTAATGTATGCGTCATAATCAAGTATCAGTTTTTACGTGATAATTAAAAAACTCATGCTTAAGGAAATGATTGAAAACAAAGGATTTGCAGCAATATGGTTGAGAAACAAGCCATGTGTTTGCTGTCGCGAAATGAACGTGGGATTAAAAAAAACAAACCAGTTGTACGAAATAAGGAGTATAACACAAGTACAAAACCTGTAACCGTGAACTAACTTATTTAATACAATCATGCAATAAACTGCACAAAATTTATTTTATTTTAGTATTTAACCGTTAAGTAATTGTCAAATTTTAATATTTAATTGCCATTTGGACGTATGTTTTGCAATTAATTTACCTGCCTGAATTGAATATTAAGTGTGAACTTTCACGCTCTTGTAATAAGGTGGAATAAATAATGATACAAAAATCGTTCCTTTTCTGCCTTCCTTTATCTTTTTCTGAAATTATAAAATGCTCTAACAAGCTTTTATTACGATTTTTCAGTGTTTTAGAAATAATAACTAAGTAGAATAATCTTTTAGGTCACTAGTGTAAAACAAAATATATATTTTTTTAAACGACAAATTTGTAAGATAAAAGTGCGATTGTATTTGAACTTGGACAAGGACGAGACTTAAGATAAAAGATAAAAATATGAATCAATTAAATCAATCGATCAATTCACTGAAGTAGTATTTTGAGCAAGTCACACGTTAAACATAATTTCGATATAAGTATTTAATTTATAAAATAGGCAGTAATTTCATTTAATTCAACAAGTGTTTTTCAAATCATTTCAAAAGGAACAATTTATATTTTTTAGATGTGATAACACTGATATCAGTGCTGTTAAATTTTGTATAATTAGTCATAAACAACATTATTTATCGAACTTTGTACTCTTTTTCAAATTGTAGGTACCATATATTTTTTTCAGAAACCTGTTATCAATATAGTATTTTAATCTGGCCAACCTTATATTAGAAAATTAAAATGTTAATTGAGGTAATATAATAATTTATAAGTATCATAATAAATTGTTAAGCGGTTATTGTTTTTCTTTATTTTAATTTATACTGCAATTATTTGTGTTGGTAGGCAATCCTTTAAACACAACATGTTTTTATATAAAAATTATTTAATTAGTTACATAGTTTTACTAAACATTTTGTGCTAAGTTGCAGTTGTCACAGAAGGTGGTACTTGTTATATACCTAGTTAAAAATTTAGCTAGTTCCAAATTTAAAAGTAGTTAAAAGTAGGCAACCCAAAAAACACTAATTTAAAATACAAAATATCTTCTACAATTATTGATTTAAAACACTACAGTCTAGGTTGATTTTACTTTTCATAACAAATTTAAACAAACCTGGTTATTAAGGTACCGGTTTTTAAATCGATTTAGATTTTAACCTCACAAATAAGTTTGGGGCCGGACTTATTAGACTGTTGAATGTGTTAAATTTATTTTGACCCTTCTAGACAAGTATAAATTTTAACCAAATTAACTTTTTTAAGTCGTAATTAAATATTTAAATTGGGCTTAATTCATGTGTAAAAATTAATTTCGGTATTAAAAAGTGAGGTTATATAAGTTTGGTTTGTTTTTATTTGTGCTAAAGTTTTCAATTTTTTTTATTTAATGATGCCTACGTATTGTGAAACACCTCCAGAGGTAAGTAAGTTCTTTTTTACTTTTATGTTAAATATTAATTTGTAATTTTTAGCACCTCCAATCTAAGACAATCATAGTGATCCATCCAGGCTCATTAAATCTCCGTATAGGGCGTGCTTCTGATTTAAATCCTTTGACAATTTTGCACGCGATAGCTCGTCGATGTTTGAATAAGAAATACCAATATAGAGACTCATTCCTACCTCCTCGAATAGATTTGGTAAAAATTTCTTCAGTTAAAGTACAGTTGGTAGAACAATTTTCAGAGCCAGCCTCAAGAATTTGAAGATGCCCGTCTTTCTGTCTCTCACACTTTACAATCCTGCTTGCAATCAGATGGTCGCAGACGCTATGCGACGCCCCCACAACAAATCGCCGCCTTCAATCGTCGAGCCAAACCGGAAGTTTTGGGGCCAAGTGGCGGCGAGTGGTTAAAAGTTGAGGGGGACACAGTCATAGGAAACGATGTAATTGGATAACCACTAACGTTGTTTTACATAATTCAAAACTTGTAGATTTTAAAACTTGATCCTAAAGAAAATTTCAACATCCATTTCCCTTTCAAAAGAGGCGATTTTAACATACATCCAGGGCCCGGGGGCTCTATGACTTCAGTATTAGTAGACTTAGAAACGATATGGACGCATGTCTTAGAGACACATTTTCAAATCGAAAAAAAAGATTTCAAACATCACAAAGCTGTACTTATTATACCGGATGTTTATAATAGGACGTATCTGAGAGAACTTATGTATTTATTATTGTTGAAGATGGGGTTCGGAAGCTGTTTTCTTGTTCAAGTATTTTAGTGAAAAATTTGTTATCATCATCGTTACTGTTATTATTTTTTAAGGACCATGTTGCTGCCACTTTTGGTTCAGGTTTAAGCTACGCATGTGTAGTGGATGTAGGAGACCAAAAAACTTCAGTTTCGTGCGTTGAGGATGGTATTTGTCATCCCAACACCAGGGTAATATTCTAGCAAAATTACCAACAAATTCACAAAAATTTATTTAGGTTCGACTAGAATATGGTGGTGGAGACATTACACAGATTTTCTATTGGTTGCTACAAAAGTGTGCTTTTCCATACAAAGAATGTAACGATCAAAATAAATTAGATTCCATGTTATTACGCAAATTGAAGGAAGATTTCTGCCATGTTAACTTGGTAAGACTTGAATTTTTCTCTTCCTGAGTTGAGATTTTGCTATAGGATATTTGTGGTTCGCAAGAAAAGACTTTGATTCTGAAACAGCCGGGAAAACCTATTTTAAAATACACGATCCAAGTTGGCGATGAGTGTATAGTGGCGCCCCTTAGTATGTTTAGCCCGGAACTTTTTGGTATAACCGGTGTTAAGACTATAAGAACGCAAAAGGCATCGACTGGGGATCCGGAGGATCCTCATGATGAGAATTACTTGCGAGACATAAGAGTAAGTTGACTTTTTTAGTTGTTTCGTAATTTTTTAACTTTCTGATAGCGGAAAGGAATGAAAGATAATATGGAACCGAGCACTTCTGATCTGCTCAGTGAGCCATACTTAGAGCAATCACAGAATCCCACAAACGAAGATGATGTTGTAGTCGATGCAATCGATACGGTTGCACCCAGCTATGACAAAGAATTTGTAATCGCCCCGGGTCAGATCTTGGGTCTTGATCAGGCAGTTCTTCAAAGTATCGATAGATGTCGTAAGTTGTAACGTTAGAGGTACCTATACCTGCTAATGCAATCGATTATTTCCAGCTAACGAGGACCTTAAACGAAAAATGTATGGTTGCATTTTGATCGTTGGTGGCGGGATGAAATTTTCAGGAATTGGGACGTGGCTCCAAAATAGGATTTCATTGCAAATCCCGTACTTATATCGCGCTGGTACGTTTATATATAAAATGTTGAGTAAAGTCATTGAGATGTGTGCTTTAGAACAGCTTGATATTATAACAAATCCCAGAGATATGGATCCGGCGATGGTTGCATGGAAAGGTGCTTGCATAATGTCCTGCTTGGAGACGGCTCATGAATTGTGGATTTTGGCCTCTGAGTGGGAAAAATACGGGGTGCGAATATTGCGAGAAAGAGCGCCTTTTACATGGTGATTTGTATTGAAATAAAGCTTTTTACATATTTTGAGTTTTAATCGAACTTGAACCCAAATAGAAAAACATGCCAAATTAATAAATAAGAATCGTATATTGAAAAAATCGTGACAATTAAAGGATTTGGTTATTTGCAGTGTTACGTCTTATTTAATTTTGATACAAACAAAATGGCTAAAATTTATTAAAAGTATAAACAAATTGAGCAGTCACAAATTACACATTTAACTAAATTGTGAAGGTAATTTATTAAACAAAATCAGAATTAAGTATATATTGCACATAAATATGTTGCTACATATCCATGAAGCTGTCATATTAATTCACATATTAAATTTGTACTGAACACCATGTGACAACATAACACAACTAATTCTAACATCTGGAACAAGAAAAATTAACAAATTAAAGAGAATATCACATTCCTACATCGTCAGCACCTTTTCGTGATCGTAATAATAGTGGATTTTATTTTTCAAACACTCACATCTCCAAAAATTTGATTTACTGATCAAAAACTGGAATGTAGATATGATCTGTCTTTTATCAAGAGCAAGTGTTTTCTTTTCAATGTAAATAGCCCAAAATACTGTCACCAATGCCCAACAAAAGAATAATATACATACAGCTATCTAAAATTATGTACATAGTATGATATACCAGTTGGTATGCTGGATCATCAGCATTATCAAATTATACAACACATTTACTATATAGGAGTCATTTTTTCCAGACACATTATTTAGTTGAATTTTTTACGCGGCAAAGAAACTCCAATATAATAAATCTTAATAAATAAGTTGTGACAATGACACTGTAGATGGTAAATAATACGAAATAACATGATAATATGCAAAACTAAAAATCTTAACATATTTGATATGTCAGAGTATTACCTAGATAGAGATGTGTGAAGAAAAATGAATCATGTCATTTTATATTATTTTCTTTGGTTTAAAAATAGTTAAACGAGCACTTTCGTTAATTTGCCGACTACATTTCATATTTGTTGCATTTAAAAAATACAATAACAGTACTAATATTACACTAGCAGTAAAAATAATAGTACCACATCAGTATTAACAATTATAAATCGTTCACATAAATTATATAAGGAACATAGTCAAATTCACTGAAAGTTCGTATTTACACTATGACGGGGAATACCAGTTGGCGGGAGCGGTGGGAGCACTTTTCCCTGGATGATAGAGATGGAATCCAGCGCTGGCCGCACCGTGGTGGTAAAACTGGGGCTGCTCGACGTAAGAGTAAACCTGGGGCTTGAGAGGAAGAGGACTATCGGGGTACTGATGGCGCAGAACGTCTTGGTACGGCACGGGAGTATCAAAAGCAACTCCTCCGTGTAACTGCTGATGTTTATCACGCGGAGATACGCTGGACGGAGGTGTCATCGCAGAGTGATAGTCCATTGAATAACTGGTCGGGTAATTTTGGTGTTGCGAGAGAAGAAATTGGTGTTCACTGTAAGAAGACGAGCCCTCGCTGCCAGGGGGCGTCGGCAGGGGTCCCACTCCGACCTGTCCATCCCCCGGGTAGTACCCCGTCGAACTGCTGGACCGGCTGGACGCACTAGTAATACCGTGAACGTTGGCACGAATCACGCTTTCTCTATTCGCGTAAAGCTGGCGCAGGAGAGCCGACGCCGGCAGAGGCCCCTGCTGTTGCAACTGCTGGTGGTGTGCCCCGATCCACTGTATTGTGGTCCGCTGTTGCTGTTTGAGAAGGGCGTCGGTGCTGAAATCGGTGGGTTGGTGTGGCGGCGACTTGCACGACGGCAAATGCTTCGACATCGCGTTCTCGAGATCCTTGACCGACGTCCCGCTGCTTCCCGTCTCCTCCAGGTTTTTCGGACTAGTCCCGGAGGAGTCTGACATCACCGGATGCGCACTTATGGAGTGGCAGGACGATGCCGGACTCATGACGGTATTACTTCTATGCGGCGGCGAGTGTTCCTCCTCCTCGTCGTCGTCCGAAGAGGCGTTCTTGCGTTTGGACGAGCGCCGCGTCGAGATCGATTTCCTTTGGTCTGTCGGGGTTTGGAGTTTGGACACTTCCAAACGGCGGGTGCGAAGGTCTCCGGACTCTTCGATGGTACCTCCGGTGCCACTCCCAGGAGCGGTGCTCGCGTCCTCCAGATTCTGCGTCGTGTCCTGGGGGGGATTGGGCGGTCCTCCACTGTTCCGGCCATCTTACCACAGAATCAGATTAACACTATATTCAAATACAATGTATAACTAGCATTGGTGGTACGTTAACGTACCTCCACGATCGGCGTCGGGCGAGCCGTTCTCGGGGTCGTTGCTGTTGGCCTCCTCCCGCTTCACCATGTGAGTGTTATCTTCCATTTGGCAGCAGTCCATTATCATATTTTCGTACTCTCGACCACTGGAAATAAATTGATTAATAGGAAACACTGTTTGGACTAGCGAGTGATTTCCGCCGGTAGTTGGAAATTTACTGGGTTCTCACCTTATTACATAATTTACACAAATAATATTTTGCTCGTCTGCGTTTTTTGAATTGCACACTACAGTAGCGCACGTTTGCATCCAAGTATATCCCCCGCTTTTGTTCATTAGTCGGTAGTAATGCGTTAATACTTGTCCTTTGTGTATCACTGGAATAATGGAAAGAAGACAGTGAGTGAAAGGGTGTTGTAGATGAATAGATGTGTAAATTAGCTTACAGTCAATATGACATTTTCTTAATTTATTGGCATCTTCACCATGGCACAGGGTATATAAATTTCTACCAGTTAATTCTTCAGCTGTGTAATCTAAGAGATCCGACACTTTCGGTTCACAATGTGCTATTCTAAAGTCAAAGTTGATTCTAGTTACGAACATGTCGGATTCTAATCGAATTTCATGTACACTGGGAGGCGGGAGAGCAATCGCTAAAGCAACCATTCCTAAGAGTGGAGGCTGGGATTTTCGTGAATGTGAAAAAGTATACTGCGGTCGTAGCCTACATAACATTAAAACAACCTGTAAAAAAAGTATGACAAATGAAAATCTAAGCAACTTGATTAAATTATCATACGCGATATCCAGATGACTTAAAGTGACATCCTCTTTTGGTTAACGTTGATTTCATCCTAACACAGAAAGCTCGGTCCAACCCTTTGAACGGAGGGTTCGTTCCAATAGACATAATCGTGGATACTGCAAATCACCGATGTAGTATTAGATCAAGTCCTTAAATTTTTGGCTACAAATTTTGATGAACTGTAATCTGTCTAAATTTCTGTTATGGCTGAATATTAGATTGTGTCCAGTCAAGCAATTGAATGAAATCCAGTGGTATACACAAGCTGCCGCAGCATTCCTGGGCGTGACACATAACACCAGTACGGAATAACAATTGACCACGTACATGAGGCAGCCTCTGCATGCTTAACCACTATTTCCTGTCGGAATCATACGATTGCATCGAACTTTTCATCGATTTAAGACCTACAGTTACCAAACTTAACTGCGTTTATTACAAAGTCATCAATTCGGGTTTGCGTTTTATCAAATCTTTCTTACCGTCAGGATTATTGGTACCTGCTGTGGAGGCGCTCTCTTCGGAACCACTTCCAGGTGATGCTAGATTTTGCCCTTGAGCAAGCCCTAAACCTAACTGCTCTGCCATTTCCGAATGGTCTAAATGGTGGATATAGTCGAAAACGCTGCTGCCAGTCATTTCCACCTGTGAAAAATAATCATTCCTGCCATAAATCTAGCTAAATTTGTATTGTTAAGTCTTTTTGAAGCTTGTGGGCTAACTTATTCGACTCAGACAAATAACTATCTCTTATGGTGAATCGTCAATTAGAGTTCAAACTTTTAAAAGACGTAGAATATTGCAAATTTCACAAAGGAAAATTTTAATTTATTAAGGAAAAAATCTTTTACATGGAATTCAAAGCAGCTTTTTTGCAAAATTTTGAAATAAGAAAAAGGAGACATAAGAAGATGAAGAACAATAGAAAAGTAGATTTTAGTACGTTGTCACATCTCTTTACTCTATCGTTTGATATTATTTTCATGTCCTTTATTGTTTTAATTAGTAGTGATCACATTGTGGTTTTTTATTTTTTCGTATTTTGTAAATAAAACTTCTTCTTTTAAAAGTAATCTCGTAAAAACAACAGATTACAAAATAAAGTTTTACGATAAATTTTAAGTCAGTTTTAATTGTTTTTCAAATGATGATGAATAATTTACCTACTTTTTCCAAAAATAGTTTGAGATGGCTACTTATTTGATTAATTTCATTTTTCTTTGTAGTTCGCTAAAAATAAATTCATTTTGAAATGATCAATTTAAAATCTAATAGTAATTGAAAATTTAAAACGTTGAAGATTTCTGTACCCCAAGTTGGTGTAGTCCCGAGGGACTTCCTTCTATCCCCCGCGGTCAGTCCAGCCTTGGACAAGCTGCTATTTTTGGGTTTTTGTGAACTATAGAATATTCATTTTTTTTAAGTATGCTGTTCCGAGTGGCAAATCTAGCCTCTGAAAGTTGTTGGGGTTCGTAATTTTACTTTTAGAAAAAAAACTCCGCTAATAACTCCTTTCCTTTAAAACAGGATTTGGTATTTTTTTTTACTGCCACTGACGTGAAGTATTATTTTTCCTTGTGTTAAAAAAAGGTCGCGAAAATAAAATTTCCCCCACTGTAGACTTCTGGAAGGTTAAAAATTTCTTGAAGTTGCAGTTTAAACGTTATTAAAACTCACAAATTTTAAAGAAAAGGTGTTGTTAAAGTAATATATGTTTATAAAAATTAAGAACTGCTATAGGAAACAAATTTAGAACCGGCAGCAAGAAAATAAAATTTTCAACATTATCAATTTCTTATTTTCTTATTTCTTATTTTTTATCTTTTTGTCACCAAAATTAGCAGTAGCAACTAGCAAGGTTTTCCAATGAAATTCAAATGTGTTTAAAAAAAATCTAATTTTTATTTCCTTTTTTTTCATTTATTTTTGAGTCACCTCTATATTATTCTTAAAGGAGCA